ATAGTCCCTGGATGGGAGGGGGGGTAGGGGTGGGAGGTGTCACGCCATTTCTCACTGGCATTAATCTGCGTGCTTTAATGCAAAATGTAATTACAGATTCTGAATTATGGTGGTGAGCTCGTCAGGGCTGACTAATTAGTCAGATTTATAAGTATTTGGTTCTCAGAGATCTATGACCCTGATGTGTCGCCTCAAAGCTCTGAGAAATCCCTTTCCTGCTAGGTAGTTTTCTTAGGGAGTTGGGGGGCTGGGATCCCAGCTTTAGGGGCTCGTATGGAGAGACAATCTGACAACTCTGGGGCAGCCTGAAGACCGTAGCTGCCCCTGAAATCGCCACCCCTTTTAGGTCTGCTCTGCCCCAGGAATCCAGAAATGTCAGATCCATGCCGCCACTTGTTCCACTACCCCAGCAGAGGCCATGGCAGACATTAATAATGGATTACCCAACTCCTTCCTGCGGAATCTGGACCCAGCCTCAAGCTGCTGCTTTAACACAGCCCTCTAGGCACTCACTTGGAATTGGCATCTCTTTCTCACCCTGGGATAAGCCCTTTCCTGCTCTCCTCAGAATAGAAGAGAAAGGAAACTGGATTTTGCTACCAAAGGCTGGGGTTGAGTGCTGGTTTTGCCACTTGCTCACTGTGGCACACCAGGCTCATCATTCCACCCGCTGGGGTGCTGGCTTCTTCAGGGAAAATGAGGGTGATGATCCAGGAGGAAAATCTGTATGAGAGTAAATATGAAGGTTCTTTGTCTCCTCCCAAACCCTGCGCAAGATAGAGATGCAGCATCCAACAGAGGAGAAAGAGGGGTGCCAAGCTCGTGATTTCCCCCAGGGGACACCTCAGTGGGGCCAGGATCATTTTTCTTCCCTCCTCTGTGGCCCTAGAACGGAATCCAAGCGTCTGCATTCAGGCTGTACTCCAGACAGCCAGCTCCCTCAGACAAAATGAACACAGTGCATATTCTCGAGGCTTCTAGACTTTGGAGGGGCCCCATGGCTTTGGCTACAGACGGGGCCCTCCCCATGGGTCAGGGGGAGAATTTGGGAGGGTCTCTTGTGTCCCACTATCCCCAGGGAGGGTGATGATTTATTACAGGCAGAGAAACCCATTGCCAGGTTCTTTTCTCTTTTTCATTCACCTATATTACACAAGTAAGCCTTGGTCAAAATCAACCCAAATTCATTATAGAAAAATTAGAAAATCCAGACAAACAGGCTGGGTGTGGTGGCTCACACCTGTAATCTCAGCAGTTTGGGAGGCTGAGGTGGGAGGATCATTTGAGGCCAGGAGTTTGAGATCAGCCTGGGCAACATAGTGAGACCCCCATCTCTACAAAAAATTAAAAAATTAGCTGTGCATGGTGGTGCACACCTGTAGTCTCAGCTGCTCTGTAAGCTGAGACAGGAGGATTGCTTGAGCCCAAGAGTTCAAAGCTGAAGTGAGCTATGATGATACCACTACACTTTAGCCTGGGCAGCAGAGTGAGACCCTGTCTCTAAAAAAACAAAAGAAAAAATCCAAGCAAACAAAAATAAACATTAAAACCACCCATAATTCTACAACTTTGAGATAAGTATTAACATATATAATGGATCCTCGTATTTTTCTGTAGTATATATACACACATTTGTATTTCTTTTACAGGATTTAGACCATTCCATAACATTTTGTAATTTGGGGGTTTTGTTGTCACTTAATAGATATTGAACACTTTTCCATAGTAGTAAACATGTAGCCACCATCATTTTCAGTGGCTTCATGGTATTTCTTACAGTCTCTCAAATATTTTTCTTATTTAGTTATCTAGCCTCCTATTTGTTGGATGTTGGTTTCCAATTTCTCATTGTGATGAGCGATATAAGTATTGAAAAAAAAACGCTTATGGCTCCACTGATGTATCTATTTTCTAAATTCTTAGTCTCAGAATTGCAAGACCGTAAGGTAAACACATCCTAAGACTTTGATGTGCTTTGCCAAATTGCCCTCCTGGAAGTTCGTACCAATCTCCACTCCCCGCAGTAGCGGAGAGTCAATGTTTTTCTCTCCCCGCTGAAGTCGGCAGGTGGAGAGCCACAGGCTCCGAACTCTCTCCAGCTGCTGGGATCCTACAGCTGGACCCCCGAGGGTCGTAGAAATGGAGTTCCTTCTCTTCCGCCCCCCAACTCAAAGCACCTTGAGAAAGCCCAAGGCCGGGCCGGGGCAGGGTCCCCAGGCCACCTGGCCCGGCCACTCACAGACCCCGGCCGACTCCCTTTCCACATGCACGCCTGGGTGTCCCTTCTCAAGGCCTGCGGCTCACACCTCGTGGCAGGACAGAGCTGCTGAGTTATCGTGAGCCTTATTTCCCTCTACAGCTCCTACGGAGTTAACAGATGTACTCGCGTCTGAGGCAGTCATGCGGCAAGAGACTTTGGGGCCAATCCTTTCTGTTTTGACAGTGTGTAATCGAGGTGAAGCCATAAATTTTATAAACAAGAATAAACAACCCTTAGCAACATATGTCTGCTCGACCCTTCCAAGGTGATCATAAATAAAGGCGCCTGCTGGCTGGAGGGGGACATGGGCTCTGCAGATGGCCAGTGACGAGGGCCAAAGGACCGGGGCTTCGGGAGCTTTCCCTGGGAGTCGTTTCTATCGGGATAGTGGGAGGAGAGGTCACCTTGCATCTCCTCATGACCCCCAGGCCCTGAGTCAGCTGGACAGCGTTGTGGTAGCCAGTGCATTCTCCAGGTGCCTCGTCCTGTGCCATGGGAACTGGCACCCGCTTCCCACCCTTCCTCTGAGAGGCTGCTCATCGCCGGGGCGACCAGGGTCCTCACGGGTTTATGGTACCCCCTGCTCTCCCCCCGCCGGAGAGAATCCCTGCCCCACTTAATTGGCGGTCATGCCCCCATCACCAGCTGTGCCCATTTGGCTGCCCCAGGGGAATCTGAAGACCAGGGTCCTTGTCCTGGCTCTGCTGCCACCCAGAGGGAGACCTGGGCAGTGGGACTCACCATGGAGAGGTCAGAACCTGCAGGAGGTAGACAGATCCAAGTTCAAATCCGAGTTTGGCCTCTTCCTTGTGGCGTGACACGAGCCAGGGTGCCGTCTCCCTGCGTCCCAGTTTCCAAGCCTGTGAAACCAAGATCACAGTGTCTACTGGATACGGCTGCGGTGGGGAGTCCGTGCCAAGCGCACGAGGACGGTGCTGTCAAGGTCAGCTGTGGTGAAAAGATTTAGAAAGCCCTGCATGTAAGAAGAGCAAGTTCAATGTCAGCGGTTTATAATGACATCATTATAAGATCATCATCACCCCTTAGATGCTGTGTGACTTTAAGCAAGTGACTTCACCCCTCTGAGCCTCAGTTTCCTCGGCTGTGAAATGGGGAGGGCAACTGTATACTTCGTAGGGTTCTGAGAAATAAAAAGACACATTAAAAAACCCCTGGAGTTGTGGTGCGATTGAGCATAGAGCTCAGTGTTGAGCAAATGCTCCCATGGTGCTTAGAGCCCTGATGTAAAGCCTTGCTCCATCTCCTCTAGCTGTGTGACCTTGAGGAAGTCATTTCTACTCTCTAGGCCTGTGTCCTCATATGCAGTTAGGGGTGATAATAATATTAATAGGCTGTTGAGAGAATTAAATGAACTGTTCTTAGGATGCCTGGACATAATCAGTGCTCAATTTGTAGGCTTTATTAATATTTATTATATTATCTTCTCTGGGCCTTAGTTTCCTCATCCATAAAGTGGGTGCAGTGATCTCTGCAATCCTGTTCAGGCCTCATTATGCTGCTAGTCACTCTCCCTCTCACTTTGGCACTGTGTTCCTAGAGCCACATCCCCCTGGTCTTGTCAGATTGTGGCCACTTACCTCTGGAGGTCACTTGTCTCCCCAGCCCACTCAGCAAGTCCAGCAAACCAGAGGCGTTGCTAAGTGGCCCTGGCTTTCCCTGGGCCTGAGCTATCAGCAAGTGCTTTGAGAAGGGTAAAACGTGATTCAACAATAGTTACTTTTTTTGTTTTTTTGGTTGCTACCACGTGGCAGGCCCGTGGATGTATCCCCTGAAACCTTGGCAGCTGGTATTATCATTTCCAGTTATAAAAGATAAAGATTGAAGATCAGAGTGGTTAGACCATTTGCTCAAAGTGACTCTGCTAGGAAGTGTAAAGCTGGAATTTGAATTAAAATAGCAATAATAATAAACAATTATGATAATAGCAGCTACCATTTGTCCTGGGGCAATACTACCTTTTTAAATATTGCCTCCTTAAACTCTCCCAATGTCCCCATGGGGTAAATATTATTCCCATTTTATAGATGGAGAAGCAAGTCTGAGAGAGAGGGAATGACTTCCCCAGAGTCACGAAGCGAAAAGGGACAACTGGTCTCAAGCCAGAGTCTGCCTGCAGCCAACGCCCAATCCAGGTGTCTGACAGTCCCTCACTGTCCCGTGCAGTCTTGCAAGCATCAGAGGTGACCCAGCAGGGGCCCAGGGGGACCTCCTCACACTTCAGGACTGGGGCTCTCTGAAGCCCCCAAGAGGTTGCTGGAGAAGGCAGCGTCGTGAAGAGGGGGTTGCACCGGTTCTCTTAGAACAGGGATTCCGACCTAGGGGTTCCACGGACTTCCTAAGATTGCAAGCAAACTGGTGAATGTGTGTGCGCGTCTATCTAGGGAGAGAGTGCACAAGGCTTTCATCAGAATTCCAAAGGTGACAAACCACGGCTTGAGAAGTTTTTGATGCCATGCAGTGGGAGAACACAAGGGACATCACCAAAGCTCCAGGGCCTCCCCAACCTGCCCGTCCATACCTCCACTTGGCCTTGAGCACTGTCTTCCACGAGGACTCTAGACGAGAAGAGCAACAGGCCAAGGCAAATCGAAACTGCGCCCCCAGCTGGACTGCACCGATGAGTCTATTCCAGTGTGGGGCTGGCATTGACAGAAACTTCCCAGGCCCCGTCGTAGGGGAGGGATGAGCCACAAATCCTCCCAGGCACTGATCTATGTATCACTCGTGCGGAATTTATTATACAAAGAATTTTATTCAATTAAACTTGAAATGTGTCTGGATTCTTAAAGGTTCAGTAGTGATCACTGGGACAGAGCGATCATAAAACTGGATGGGCTGTCGGAAGGAGGCAAGGTTGAAATTGCAGCTGACGGGGGATTCGGAACCAGGGACGTTTGTCACCGGGATGCGTTACAAGTTCGGGCTGTGGAAATTACTTGGTGAAAAATGCACATTAACAATAGCCGTGAAATATAAATTAAGGGAAAGTAGGTTGAGAAACGAGACATCAGGATCTATGGGTGCCTGGCGTTGTTCGCTGCAATCCAGGTTGTGATTAACATGACTGTCAAGTGGCAGTAGGGTGGGAGTCATGAGGCCACGGCCTGGGCCCACGTTTTGGCACCGACTCACCGGGACAGCTCGGTTCCCCTCTCTACGCCTCAGTTTCCTCACCTGCAAAGTGGGTCGCCTCGAGTGCCTCCTCCCAGGGTTGCTCTGAGGTTTAAATGAGATAACATCTGCAGAGCGCTTGGCCAGGGGCCCCTCCTACAACTTGGCTGGTGTCACTGTCACCCTTGGGCTTGTCTTCAGATCCAACCACCGGCTCGCCTCTGGTAAGGATGCTATGCAGTGTGTCCCAGGGAACCCAAGCTGCACCTGGGTGAGGCACTGTTGTGGGTGCAAAATGCAGGGGAGTGCCAGCGAACTCAGCGATCCAGAAATATTTCCATGCAATATTTTCAAAAATCAAGTTATGAAAAAAAAAAAACTATGATAAACAAGGGGCCACGATTTTATGTAAAAAGAGGCTGCTGTTTGTTTCACAACCCCACATTACTGCGCTATGGGAATGATCGTTGATGAGGGCTGAACACAAGGGGCAACACAGGCTTTATCAATAGACCGGTTTTTTGATAGAACTTTTATTAACTTCCCACCTGGTTCCAATTATGGGAGGACGCTTTGGTCAGGGTACAGAGGGGTCCACATTTTTCCTTTTGCCTTGACCTCTAAAATAGCTTCATAATGCACCATGGAAGAGCAAATGCTTCACGCAACCCATCCTCCTGGCCCCAAAGCCAGCCTTCTCAGTTTTTCCAGCAGAGGGAGAAAACCTGCCAAGATGTGGCGTCTGCCCTGCACCTGGGCCATCTCTCAGGGGAGCGTTTGCTGGTGAACTGGACGACAGATACAGAGGCGGGGGCCTGAGAACCAGCGTTAACGTCTGGCCTGTAATTCAGCCGCTCCTGGAAGGCCAGGTGGGGACAGGACTTGGCAACAGGCAAAGGCCTTGTTTCAAAGACTGTCGCTTGAGGACGTTGTATTTACTCAGAGAGCGTTCCTCGTCCTTTGTAGGCTGTGCTTTACCATGGCTAGGATTGTGGGGCTGTCGCTTTATTATGTCCATCCTGCGCTGTCCAGGAAGACGTGGAGGCGCAGGCAGAATGGAGCAGTTCTGCGAGCTCTCGCAGCGGGGGCCGCCCGCTCGGCAGTTAACCGCCATCAGCTTCTCCCGAACACTCGCGATCTCCCCGTGTGCAGTTCTGTTTGCAAATACTAAGCACCTACTCTGTACCACACCTGGCACTGACTACGGAGTGGGAGGCACTGGACAGGGCCACCCCCTGGAGGACATTCGCTCGAGGTCATCAGCACTGTCGGCATTGAAAGCACCCAGAAGGCACACACGTGCCTGCCCTGCCTGCAAAGTTAGCGGCGAGGTGGCAGGAACGAAGGCAAAACGACGCGCACAGCCGAGACTTTAACCTTTGCCGACTTGCCAGCAAGGACAGTGGCCAGCATGACCGGGCTTCCCGAGCCCAGCGTGGTGGCCATGCTGAGCGGGCACCCCGTCAGTAAATGACGACTGCGCCAGGCGTGTGCGCCCCTCCGGTCGCAAGCGCCTGCCCTTTGGAATTCATTTCCTGCAATTAGCAGCGTGGAATCTTTAGGTTCTCCGGGCTGCCTCTCTGCCCTTCATAAATATCCCCTTCCCAAGGACACAGCTGGCACTGGCAGTGTCGTTTCATAGCGGGAGGGAGCGGTGGTGACAACTGAAATAAAATACAGCCGTGGCATGGATCTCAGAGGCATAAACCAGCCAAGTGTGCGACATCAGAGAAGTCGGTCTGGTGTCAGCCTTGCCGGAAACTGAAGACCTCGTTTTCTCAAGCCGCATTCACCCCCCTCGGCCCCTCCGCTCTGTGCGCTGCCTTCCAGCGGTGGCGTTGGTCCCACCCAGGTCTCTGTCCCTTTTAGCGGGGATCCTCTGCGCTGCGCCCGTACCCCCAAACACGCTTCAACCCCAGCCCAGGGTTCTGAGGCCTCACCTGTCAGTCTGCCACCACCCAGCCCCCACATTTTGGCAGCGATGGGTGGCTCAGAGGTGACTAAACTTCCAAATCCTGTCCGCCTTCCCCTTTATAAATGTGACATTTAAAGCCCCTTTGGCACAGGTAAATCACAATTACATTTCCAAGGGCCTCTGGTACCATTCCAAATCCTTGAGCAACCCAAGCTGGCAGGGGGAGGGCTCTCGCTCTGTCTCTCTCTCTCTCTCTCTCTCTCACACACACACACACACACTCACACACACACAACTCAAGCCTTCCCACTTTTATTCATTTATCCACAGGGCTCCTTCTCGTTGTGGCACTTTACCGTCCTTGCCGACGATACTGAGTTCATTCCCACTGCCCTCCAAGCCTGGGGACGGGGCAGCATCCTCAGAGGGCCACGGTCCCTGGAGAGAAGTGGCAGGGGGTGGGCAACAAAGCTGAGCCGGGACAGAGGGCTGCTTCCTGCCCTGCTGGGGGGACCTTCAGGAACCAGGACAAGGGAAGGGCAAGCTCTTCCCTTCCCCGCCATCGCCATGGAGGGGTCCACAAATCTCCCCCTTTCTGTTATCTCAAAGAGGCCTCGGGCTCAGTCCTATGGGTCGCTTTTCTTGTAGATTTTTTCTCGATTCCCCTCCTTCATGGCTGCGTATCTGGCCAACGTGAAGAGGTAGTCGCTGAGTCTGGCGGGGCAGAGAGAGAGACAGACAAAGTGATCTGAAAGGAGATCAATGCTAACTGGGTCTTCCCACAGTAGCCTTCAAGGAGGAAACACAAATTATGTGCCCTCAGGAGCATCACACGGGGATGGCGGGTGCCCAGCCATCTCGGGCTTGATGGATGGCACTCGGCCAGCTTCCGAGAGAGCCAAAGGCCCGACGCAGGTGCCAGGGCTGGGGCTGTTCCTGCAGGGAGAGGCCACTGCCTCCCCCCACCCTGTGGGGCAGGTGACTTTGGACTCCTCTGTCAGCTGGTTTCTGTACCTTTTCTTTTCAGACAAGATTTTGCTCTGTCACCCAAGCTGAAGTGCAGTGGCACCATTATAGCTCACTGTAACCTTGAACTCATGGGCTCAAGCGATCCTCCCACCTCAGTCTCCCGAGTTGCTGGGACAACAGAAGTGCACCACCAGGAACAGCTAAATTTTTTAAAAGCTTTTTGTAGAGACAGGGTCTTGCCATATGGCCCAGGCTAGTCTCTAACTCCTGGGCTCAAGCGATCCTCCTGCCTGGGCCTCTGAAAGTGCAGGGATACAGGCATGAGCCACCATACCCAGCCGTTTTTCTGCACCTTTGAGTGACCGGTTTGAGTGTTTCCAAACTGGAGTGTGTATGTACAAGCATCCCCTGGGGATCATAGCGACATGCAGATTTTAATTTGGGAGGGCTGGGCCAGGCCCGGGATTCTGAGTGTCTAGTGCCCACCTGGTTGACGCTGACCCTACTGGGCTGAGGAGGCTGTACTCAGTACAGGGGCCCTGGTCAGGGTGCTCGACTTCACCACTACTGACATTCTGGATAATCTTTGTGGTTGGGGCTGTCCCGTGTAGCATCCTTGGCCTCTACCCACTAGATGCCAGTAGCACCTCCCGCCACCACCCAGTGTGACCACCGATAATGTCTCTAGTCGTCACTGAATGTCCTGGTTGAGAAGCACTGGCCTGGAGTATTCTAGTGACAGAACCTAGCCCCTCCAGCTTTTTCCTTTGACAGGCGTCTGCATCTGCAGCCTTGTGCTGGGACAGCAGCGGAGAGAACTGGGAGAGGAGACATCAGGCCGGCCCTTGGGTGCTCACGCTGGACTCAGCCGAGTTCCCCCTGCTCTGGCTGTCCCACGATTGTCACCACCTCATGCCCGGCACTTGCCCCTATGCTGCCCCGCCCTGCCCTCTGAGGCCAGCTCCACACATCCTCCTGGCCCCTTCCCTGTGGTCAGGGCCACGCCATTGGCTGTCTTGGGAACAGTGCAGGGGACTCTGCTTAGGGGCTTCTCCCTCCTGGACCACAGTAGCATGCTGGTTCCTCCCTGGCTCTGTGAGGCCCCGAGTGGGGGATGAACAGACCTGGGTCACGACTCATTATAGGACCAGAAAAGCCCACCTGGGTTTGCGGTTTCAGAGGCGAAATAGAGCCATTCCTCACCTGCCGGCCCAGGAGACGCCCCTCCCCGAAGGAAAGGAGCTGGTCAGCACCCATCAAAGCCAGGCCTGGTCCTGGAGGGAGGAGTGCCCACAGCCAGGAGCCAGAGCCGGCTGTGAGGTCTGGACACCCTGGGCCGCTCCCCGGCACACAGCCCCCACCCTTGCCACTCCCGCAGCTCTCTGCCTGCCCGTGAACTCCGGCCTTCCCACCTGGCTACTGCACGACCTGGGGCTGGAGTGAGACCGGCAGAGCAGGCTCTGGGCCTGGGGCGGCTCCAGCCGTGGGGCTGACCACGAGGCAGAGGGAGTCCTCCCTGGACTGGCCTGGCTCCCTGGGCCCTGCACAGGGGCCCTCGAGCTCCTGGTCAGTCACCAGCGAGAGGCCTTCCTCGGGCACAGGCTCCGGGAATGTTCCTTGCTCCTGCACTGTCCTTTCACACTTAGGTTTTTCTTCCTGGTTTTTACAGCAGCCTCTCCCAACAAGATCCTAACTTTCCTGGGACGGACATGGTGTCCACCTTGTTCACAACTGTCTCCCCGTGGCCAGCGTGGTGTCTGGCACTCAGCAGACGCTCACAGACACGAAGTGAACGAGAGTGCGTGCGCAGGCACTGCTGGGTGCTGTCCTCGGGCCCGCTGCACTGCGGTTACTTCTCACAAATGAACCTTTTTTGCAGGGAGAAAGTCTCCCAATTCCATCCAAGTACCTGTTTAAGAACTTGGCCACGTTGGCGTCAGTCTCTCCCATCTGGACGAGAGGCACCACGCTGGGAAGGGAGGGAACACAGGGTCACACAATGTCAGGGGGCTCAACACGCTCCGGAACCTGCCTAAACCCCAGCTGGCCTTTCACACCCGCCACTGCCCCCCCTGGACCTGCACAAACTCAGCCACCATTAGAGATGACAAAATCCATCCCCAGCGGGTCTAAATGGGTCACTCAATCCCTCTTTCCTTGCCCACATCACACAAGGGCCTGGCCGAGGAGGGACGGAGGATGGCGGGGGAATTGAGGGTGGCGGGCTGTACATCACAGCCTGCAGCCTTTGTGCCACCGGGCCCAGGGCCGGGGTCCTCCCTGGATGGGGACATCGGCCTCCAGCCCACAAAGAAAGGGGGAGGCTGACCCTTAATTCCCAAGGGGCTGCCCTTCTAAGCCCCTTCTATGTATGACTTAGAGCAACTTCACAAGGGAGAAATAGACCCGACCAAACCAACCTCATTCCACACCATTCTGAATTCCCTGCCGTCCATGCTGGCCACGTGCAGACTGTCAGCGGACTGCCATCTCCTGGGCAACAGTGACGTGGTAGCCCCTGCTAGCCCTTTCGAGCATGCCACCCTGCTGTATAACACTTGCTGGGAGGCCCTCTCCCCACAACCTGGCCTCAGGGTTCTTGTCCTTGTCCTAGGCCACACACTGGCTAGTGGCCCAGCAGGGTGTCACAAGGCTGCCTTTGTGGGCACTTTACACTCAGCAGGGACCTCCTTCGCCCGAGGTGCCCCGTGCGTATGTCCCCACCTCACCGACAGTCTGCACATTGGTCACTGCTGTGCCTGTGCAACTTGGGGATGTGTCTTAAGAACCCATCATCTGCCCAGCCAGTCTTCTTTGCTGGACCTTTGGGTCATTTCCAATTTTTTGCTATTATGAACACTGCTCATATGGATGGCTTTGTACAAATGACACTTTTTTCTTTTGAAGCCAAAGCCCTTTCTGTTACCCACGATCCCTTAGGAGCTATGTGGGCCCAAGAGCTTTTCCTGAAGGAGAAAACCTCTGTGATGTGGGCCGGTGGAAAGAGCTCAGGGTTTGGACCAGACAGACCTGGGCTCAGGTCTGGGTTCTGCTATGGCCACTTGGGTAACCCTGGCTACAATGTCACATCTCTGAGCCCACTTCCTGACTCCTGTAAATGTAGGGGCCGCCACCACCTCTCTCATGAGGAATCAGTGAAATTATGAGCACACAGTGCCTGGCACGGCCCCGCCTGTGGTGTCAGAGCAGGACTTCACTCCTATTTCTCTGTAGGTCTGGGCGCAGCCTGGTCTATGAGCGGTGTGAATGGAGATTTTGCAATTCCTCGTCTAAATTTCCCTTGGAAAGGTTGTCAGTAGCTTTTGGGGGTCCCTCCTCTTTCCAATCCTGAACTGGGGGAGGGGTTGGGGTAGTGGGTGGCTGGTCTGTTGACAGCTTCCACCTGGGCCCCCGACAGCCACACAGGCTCCTCTAGTCCCTTCTGCACCCAGTAGCCAGCAGGGTCCTTTCGTGCCACCACCCTCCATGGTGTAGAACTCATCAGTGGCTTCCTGTTGCTGTCAGAATAAAGGCAGACCCCTCTGGCCCTGTGAGTCACATGCAAGTACATCATTAGTCACTTCCTTTGACCATGATCACTGTCTCCCCTCCACAGCGCAGGGCTCTGAGAACAGGCACTTGGTCTGTCCTGGTCCCCGCCTAGCACAGTGAAGATGCCTGGACAGGGTCTGTCGAGGAGCACCCGGATGGCGCAGGGTCGCCCCTGCTGTGCCTGCCGCCTGCCCACCGCAAGGAGGGTCTCTTACCATCTCTCTGCTCGGCGGCACACGGCCCGACAGAAATGCAACGCAGAGCTGCTCTTGCCCCCCGACTGAAAGGAGAAATCAGGTGTTGGCTGGGACAGGGCTGGGAAAGTGTGTCCCCCTGCAGACAGGGACATCCAGGCCCTGCCCCCAGCCCCTCCACTGGGCAGTGTTCTGCCCCCAGGGGGTCCTGCTGGGCACCTACTGAGCACCCCCTCCAGAATGGGCAAGCTGGGGAAGGACCAGCGAGGACCTGGAGGATCTTAGGGGACTGGGGGATAGCTTCTGTCACTGTGAATAGCTAACAAGAGGGACTTCTCCAGAGCCCCTGGGTTTCTGTCAATGTGCCTGGCCTGCAGCCACCCCCAGGGTCAGGAAGCCCAGCACCTACGGGCAGGATGAAGGCCGTGAGCGGGGGCAGCTGGCTGGTGTATCTGTCGATCCACTGCTCGAGCTCCAGGATGGGCCCTGCCTCGAATGCGGTGTGCTCTGCGGAGTCCGGGACCGGAGGGAAACTGCCGTGAGGCCACTGCCTAACTGTGGGTCCCTGGGGTAACCAAGTGGTAACCACCAGGAGCACCCCCCTGCAACCCTCTGGACACCCAGGGCAGGCTCAGAGCATTACTTAAGTGAGCTTCCCTGGCCGAGGAGCGCGGAGTCGCCAGGGCGGAGCCGACGTCCTGCAGCACACACTGGATCTGGGGAAGCAGCAGGAGGTGTCAGAAAGGTCTGCCGGGCAGAGATGACGTAGTTTCACGTGTAGAGGTGCCACCTAATGTGGGCAAAGCGTGCAAGAGCTAGCGTGTGAGGGGCTGCCAGATGTCGAGTTAGCTGACGTTTAATGGCAAACTCTGTCTGAACCCTCAGCACAATGTGTCCCTTGGAGGGGGGACGTGGTGCGGCTCTTTTGGAGCCTGAGGGAGGAAGAGGCTCCCCCGGGGCAGCTGGGCTGTGCAGACAAGGGGTATCAGGCACCCCTGTGCTGGCCAAAAGGAACGATCTCAGCTCTGGCCCACTCTCCCGTGCACCTAGGCTCCGTGAGGTTTTCTCTTCTCTACACTTGACAGCTTTAGTTTTCTAACCTGTAATAGTTGGGCCAAGAGACCAAACAGGACAGTGCTTTCTAAGCTATGAAGGACAAGGAGCTTTGAGGACATGAAGTCAGCTGGGGCGTGTGGGGGTCCTAGGAGCAAGAAGCTCGGCTGGCCGAGGCCTGGGCTCTATCTAAGGAGCGTAGGTCTGCTTGGAACAGAGGTGGCCTGCCAAGGTCTGCTGAAAGGACCCCTGCATGACAAACGACCAGCGGGCTCCTGTGTTGGCAAAACCCTCACTGAGCACAAACCTCACCACTCACCTGTGAAGGAGGATTATCTCTGTCCCCATTCTACAGATGAAGAAACTAAGACTCACTGAAGAATGGTGACTAACTCCAGGTGACAAAAAGGGGAAGTGATGGTTGGATGGTGAATCTGCTTATGGGACTCACAGGACTCAGGGATGAAAGACCCCAGCTTGAGGTGAAACCATGGCACTCACTTTCTGAAGCTCTTCAGCAAAGGTGTGGCCCTTTTCCTCGATTAATTCCATAGCAAACCTATAAAGAAAAAGGAAAAAGAGTTTGCCTCTAATATAATGTCCCCAGGCCCCGTCTTGCTATAAGACAATAGATTGTCAGGTGGTAGGCTGCTTAGCTAATTTAGCTGTAATAGCCATGATGTCATTTTTTTGCTGACAATAAGAACATTGTAACCTTCCATTTAGATGGAATATTTGTTTCTTGAAATGCCTTTTCTTATGCTCATTATTTCTAGTCCACAGTTCCTGTTTGAACACCTAGTCTGGCCAGGCCCAGGTGACTCAGAAGTGAGCAGAAGCCGACACAGGTTCTGTCCGACAGGCGAGGGAGGCGTGAATCGGACAGCACGCTACCGAAGGTGAAGGTGCAAACTGACATCAGTGCTGGAAGGGCAACAGAAGCTAACCTGGCCTCAGCGAGGGGGACGAGGGCTTCTTAGAGGAAGTGATGCTACAGGTGGACTTTGCAGGCTGCGTAGGGGCTCCCTGGTAAGGTGAGGTGGGGCAGGGAAAGCAAACTGCCCCAGACGGAGGTTGGGACCCTGGCTCTGGCCTCCTTTAGAACGCGGCATTCCCATCCTGCACCAATCAGGGTCCTGGCAGAGGCAGACAGTGGCCCACGGGAAGGATTCCTGGAGGAGGGGAAGAGACTCTTCACGGAGGTGCAGGCAGAGTCACAGGAACTGGCGAGAGATGGCAAAGACTGGCCAAGGCAGGAGGATAAAGGGGCGCGGAGAGGAGGAGCTACTGACCCTGGAGCCACCGACAGGAGCCCCCAGCAGGGAGAGAGTTGAGGACAGAGCCCAGCTGCCACAAGAGCCACATGCACTGTGAGACAGGGTCACACGCAGGTGACACTCTCTCTGCTCACTCTCCCATCTCCTGCAGGCGCCTCCCTTTGGCTGGACCCACCAGAAAGCCAGAAGACCAGGGGATCGGGGTGATGCAGCCAGTAAGGCCAGTCTCCCAGGCGCAGAAAGGTGAAGAGAAGGGTGGAAAATGGATTTGAAAGGGCGAATGAAAAATAACCAGACATCTTCTTAGCATGTCTTACAATTAGAATGAGGCAAATAAACATGTCTGCCTCACGCAGGGTGGGGACTTGCGGCCTCGGCCACATGTGGCCCTCCAGATGCCCACGTGCAGCCCCTCGGCCGAATCCAAACTTCCCCAAACAAAATCCCTTTGTAAAAAGGATTTGTTCTGTACACTTTGGATTCAGCCAAAAGGCTGCACTCAAGGATCCAGAAGGCCACACGAGTCTGGACTGTGAGGGCTATTGAGGCTGGAACAGTCTGTCCTCAGCAGGGCAGCGTGCCCCAGGCCTGGCTCACAGCAGGTGTCCAGAAGTATCTGCTCACTGATACTCATGGAGAGGCGCTCTGTGACCCAGGCCAGTGGCAGGGCCCTCCTTGCTGCCCTCACGTCTCACTGCCCAGTTATTGTCTCCCTGAGCATCCCCAGACTGTGGCTGCATGAGGGCAGGGCAGACTGCTCAAGGCTGTCTGCTGAGCAATGCCTGGCACGGGGCCTGCCTGGTCAACCTCTGAATATGGAAGCATCCACAGCTGAGGTTTCCCTGCCCTCCTGCCCCACCTCAGCTGAGAGACGATGGCTGCTGAGCAGCAGGTTCTGCGTAGCTCATGCTAGAATGGGCCTCCTTCCTTCTGCCTGCGTCACCTGTGACTGCCCCCCTAAGGACTTCCCCCCACATTCAGGGGTCTGCCTACTCTGCCCAGCTGGCAGACTAGCCACACTTCCCATCATCTGTCTGGAAAATCTCACCTAGTCAGGCCTGCTAGGGCTTAAGAATAATAATAATGATAATAGCTAACATTATTATTACTGGTGTTAGGCACTGTTAGGGTGACACATGCAATTATCTCATTTAATCTTCATAAGAACGCAGTATGGAAATTATTACTACAATCATTTGAAAGAACAGTAAACTGAGGCTCAGAGAGGCCAGGCAATTTGCCTGAAGTCCCAGAGACAGTCAGCAGTGGTGCAGAATTAGAACCCAGGTCTGCCGAATTCTCATGCACTCATAACTACATGGCCATGGGTCAGATCTCAGGAGTCAGCACTTGAGATCATCACTGCTCACACTGTGACCAGTTTGCTGAACGTGGTGGACTGTGCTCTTGTTCTCAGGTATGTGCTGCCTCTCCCACCCTACTGATGTCAGGTGTGTCCACGTGACTGGCTCTGGCCAATGAAATGTGAGTAGATTGGAGGTATCATTCCCCTGGAAGCCTTCAGAGCCACTGTGAGCTTCACCATGACCTCTTTTCCTTCTGCCACAATGATTGGTATTGGCCCAGACAAAGGCTGTCCTGCCAGCCTGGGTACCAGAGTGAAGGCCACATGGAGCAGAAACACGCCCACCCTGTGAGGGGCTTGAAGTAGGAACAGAAAATCCACCTTCAGTGTTATAAGCCACAAGATTTGGGAGTTGTTTCTTTCCACAGCATGACCTGACCCATCCTGATTGATTCCTTGAGTCAACCTTTTAAATTTAGGCTTATTTAAAAAATACTCACAAAAGGGATCACATTTGATGTACTGTATATTATACTGACTCACCTCTTTCACTTAATATATCAACCTCAATGGCATACACAGGCTCACTTGAAAGGTGACGGAGCCAGGGAAGGAGGGGGAAGGCAGCTTCACAGGGCGTGGGACAAAAGCTGGGACAAGAGCAGGAAGGGCCAGAAGGGAAAGGTATCTGTAGCCTGGCAGCCCTAGGGAGCTGACCGGCCTGTGCTTCCAGGCTGAGGCAAGTTCACTGAGGGGTGACTGCAGGACTGCCCAGCACTCACTTTTTTTTTTGCCATCAAATATAGGTATTTTATTCCGGCTCTAGAAAATGAAAAAAAATGGGGGAACACATCCTTTAACATACATACCATTCTAATTTAACTGACATTAATTCAGAAAAGCTAGAGCACATATGCATATGTATAAATATGTATGTATACACACATATGTATTTCAGATTTTAATCTCATTGGTGTTCATCTTTATTTTGTTTTGTTTTAATAAATACCCTTAAAAGTCATCACATGCAACCTAATATTTCTAGCTGTGTCTCATCATCAATCATTTAATATTTGGATTGCATTCAGTGTATTTTAATCATTTATGTGGTTGGTCAAACTGTACATTTGAAGATATAAGAGAAAAACTTGATTTTGAAATCAAGTTTTCAAAAACTTGATTTTGAAAAACTTGATTTAAGTTATAATCTATGTGTCACTCATTACATGATTTTTTAATCATAATTTGCAACTTCACACATCTTGTAGTTTCTATGCAGTCTGTGCAGTCTACTTCAGCTTCTAGTGCTATACATATCTACATCTTCTGGGTGGGATTGCACGTGATCCATGAGCTTGGGGTCGGGCATAAACTGTGTAGCACCTGACATAGATTCTGATTTAGTCTTTGTTCCAGAGCTGAGTTCTGATGGTAAAGGCACTGAGTGTTTCAGGATATGAGTTGTTCTTGTAGGTAATTTGATTCCAGCAGAGCTTCCTAGCTTAGTTTTTTCATTAGATTCACGGAGTGACTCTTTTTTGCTGCTTTTTGTCCATAATGATTTAACTCCTTCATATATTTGCTGGCTTGTAGCATATACCCTTTTCCCAGTTACCTTAGCAATTATTACTGACTGAACTGGGTAGCAACCAGTTGCTCCTAAAGCAGCCAATCCCAGAGGGTAATTTTCTTAAACCTTGAACTCTTTCTTGATGAAACCAAGCCCACCAATCCTGACACTGTAATCACTCCCATTTTCAGAAGAAAATCTTGAGGTGGATTCTTCAGATAGACATATGTATCTTTTCCAAATTGTACTGTATCCATTATCCCATTTTTCACAAAGACATAAACACCCTTGCACCAGGCAACATAATGACCAGTTGTAGTACAGATGGAAGCAAAGCCCATTTGTAAATGACCAGACTGCTCTTCAACATATTTAGACTGGAGAGGTGGTACAGTATATATTGGGAGCTGCTCTGGTTTCATTAGCTGCTTTTTGTATTCCTCTTCTCTGGCAGCATGTACACTTATAGATGCATTTATCAGACCTGCAGGCATGGCTGTCAGCTTTCCCATCCTAACAGCCGCCATATCTATGCCCAGCACTCATGAGACCGTCACATGTACTGGTGCCCAATTCAGATGCAACCTCAAGGCCATCTCATCTCCCTTACCCGATAGCTGAACTTAATTCATCTGTAGTTCCCACGGCTTCAAACACTTGGTCATCTTTGGGTCTCCTTTCTCCAGTGAAGGTGCTAGAAAACCCTGTGAAAAGATGTTGAGCCGCCTAAATTAAGATTTTGTTTTCCTGATATGTTGTTTTAGTAAAACTTTCAACTTGAAGTGTAACATATACACAGAAAAGTGCTCAAATCATAAGTGTACAGGTTGATGAATTGCTACTAACTGACCGTGATCAGCACCCAGGTCAAGAAATTGAACACGATCAACACCCCAGAAGCGCCCATGTACCCTCTTTCAGTGCTACCCTCCAAGAGTAACCACTATCCTCACTTCTTTCCTAATAGGTTTTTATTTTATACTAACCATCCTGCTATAGAAATAAAACATACGTGTGTACATTACATACACATTATCATTATGTTAATATTTCACAGAAAAAGCTCTCTGCACCTCTGCCTGGGTCACAGTTTCTGTTTTTCTCTCCCAACCTCTGAGAAAACGAAAAACCGCCCCTGACAGTCGGGAGCTACTCTGGCACAAAGGTAGGCTTCGGCGTTGCCAGGTGCTGGCCTGGCACTCACAGGTAGGTGGTGGTATTCTGCTAAACACAAACCATTTCACAGAACACCTTGAGACAGGCCACTCTATGGCTGCGACGGATCAAAGCCCAAACAAGGCCACTCTGCAATCATGTCTGAGCACAGAACATAGTCCAAACTACAAAAGATGAACAAACGTCCCCCTTTCCTGGCTAATGTAAGTGCTTCATCTTTATCCATGACAGCTTTAGCACCTCTCTGTCCCTTCTCCCTTCTACAGAAAAACTATTAAGATACCTGATTACAGAATTAGCCCTGCTCCCTGACACCACCAAATCCAGAGCAACCCCCACTTCCTTAAATCCTCCCCCAAACCACCCAACACACGCCCGATCCTAATGTCCTTTCCAGCATCCTCTTCCTGAACCGCCCCACGCTTTGTTCTAATGAGTCAACTGACCTAACTTTGTTTGACTAGAGATTGTCCCTGGAGGTCTGGCTGGAGGGCATCAACAATACCATCTGCTGTTTGTTATTTCTATGTATGTTGTCTTTTTATTATTATTATTATTGTGGTAACATATATGTAACAGAAAATTTACTATTTTGATCTTTTTTTTTTTTTTTTCTTGAGACACTCTGTGTCTCACTCTGTCATCCAGGCTAGAGTGCAGTGGTGTCATCATAGCTCTCTGTAACCTCAAACTCCTGTGCTCAAGTGATCCTCCTGCCTCAGCCTCTTGAGTAGCTGGGACTACAGTTAGGTGCCACCATGTTGGGTTGATTTTTCTATTTTTTTGTAGAGACTGGTCTTGCTCTTGCACAATATATACTTGTGATCTGCATGGTTTTAAACTTCAAAAAATGGTATCATACTGACATATTCCTCTGCATCTTACTTTTTTCTATACAACATCATGCTCATTATAAGAAATAACAGAATAAGGATAAAAGTATGTAAATAATGAAAGCCTTTCTGTTCATTCCCCCCCTTACAACGCTCTCTCTCTCCCAGGGAGCAACCTCAGGTGTAACCTTTCAGACTATTCTACACATGTCTCAACACACATATGCATTATCCAAATGGATTAATGGGCAAGTTGCTTTTATCACTTAATATACCTTGGGTGTTTTTCACTTCATGTCACATTTTTTTGATATATATTGAGATGTGATATATACATTGATACTTTTTAATGGCTGCAAAGAATTTGAAAGAACTTTAAAATGGTGTCTGCCATAAGTATTTCCTTGCATTTTTCACCTGTTCCCACCCTACCTTTGTCTCCTGTTTTGGTGTAGATCTTTGGGATCTTGGGTGTCCTCAAGGAAGGCTGTAGCCTAATGAGAAACAGACATCAAGAGGTGATGAGTTGGAATGGCTTACACAAAGGGACCACTCCTTCAGTGGGTCCCAGACTGCTGCTTGTAACCTCAGAGGCAGGATTTACCCCTAATTTCTTGTTGACATCTTCCCCCCCCTTCCCCTACCCTCCCTTCTTTTTTTTTTTTTTTTTGAGACAGAGTCTCACTGTGTTGCCTAGGCTAGAGTGCTGTGGCATCAGCCCAGCTCACAGCAACCTCAAATTCCTGGGCACAAGTGATCCTCCTGCCTTAGCCTCGGGACTACAGGTTGCATGCCACCACACCAGACTAATGTTTTCCATTTTTAGTAGAGACAGGGTCTCCCTTTTGCTCAGGCTGGTCTTGAACTCCTGAACTCAAGCAATCCTCCCGCCTCAGCCTCCCCCAGAGCTAGGATTACAGGTGTGAGCCACCAGACCTCACCATTCCCCTCAACTCGTCTAGTTGCAAGCACTTGTGGGCAAGCTTTGTGTCTTGCCCATATCTGTATCTGCAGAGTAGCTGATACAGTGCATTGTACAAGGTAGATGCTCAATAAATATTTGCTAAAAGAACCGATCACTTAGCATAGTCCTTGCACTGTGCTAAATGGATTATGGGCATTATCTTCTGGTATTATCTCTGGAGTCTTTCCACAGCCCCAAAGGTAGGTACTACCTATTACCTTTCTTTTACTGTTGAGGAAACCGTAGCTCACAGAGTCAGACTCACCTTCCTCGGGCATTTAAGAAGGAAGAGGCAGGACTAGGATTCATGCCCAGGAGCCAAGACTGTCCTACTCCAGAGCACAAACTGTAACCTCTATCCTACCTAAACTCTTACCCTCTACTCCACCAAGTCTGGTCCTCTTGGAGGGAAAGAAACCTGGGCCACTTCCATTCTATGAGGTTTCAAGTATACGCAGAAACCAAGATTTGCCAAAACAGGGTTCAAAAACTAGCATTTTCATATAATAGCATAACAAATATATAGCTCAAAATTAAAACATGACATTACAAGGTTATTCAAAGGTCAAATCGCTGGATCTACGAACTATATGAATCCATGGTACCTCTCTAGGTTCTGAGGTGTGGATTGGGGTACAAGTTTCAAGGTGTGTGAGGAAAGCCATTTTCAGATCGTGGTGGGGTATCTGTGTCTTGGAGTGTAAACTGCTTCGGAGAGGGGTCAGACTCTGGGATATGCCCTCCCCTGACTCATGATAGCTGGGCTTCGCTCTGACTTGTCCAAGGAATTCCCGGTCTCTGGCGTTCACGGTGCCCACGTTGCCATGGTGACGTCAGGACCGCGAGGGGTTGTCAGCGGCGGTTGCCGCGGTGTCCTCACAGCAGTGTGACGTACCCATGGCGACGACACTGCGATTCAAGGCAGGTGTTCATTACCCTCCCAGCCAGACACTCACCTGTCCCCGTCTTCCACGTCCTGAGGGCCGCGGCTCTGGAAACGGGGACTTAAGAGCCTGCCGGCGCCGAGACACCCGCGCAGGCCTAGGCGGCCTCCCACTCCCCACACAGCCATGATCCAGGCCGCTCGACGGGGGCTGACCCCACCAGGCTCCCGTCCAGGCCCCGGGGTGACTCCACCTACACCCAGCCGCGCCACCTCTCAGCCGCCATTTTCCATTGGTCCGTAACTCTCGCCCCAGGGCGGGACACTTCCAAGAACTTGTTTCCCATTGGCTTATGGAAGAAGCTGGGCGGGGAAACCCGCGGCTGCCCGGCTACAACTCCTATTGGCCAATGTTCAAGCCAATTGGTAAAGGGACTCCCAGCTCCCTCGCTCTGATTGGCTAGACGGAAGAGGCCGCCACTCCCTGGGGCATGGACTCTCTGGGATGCAAGAGTAACCGAGCTGCTCCGCTCCGGCCAAGAGGGTTTGGCGGCGGCGACAGGTGAGAGGCTGTGGGCGCGGGCCCGGGGGACGCGAGGTCCGAGACCAGGATGACCCTGAGCCAGACTCCCAGCTGCTCTGGCTCAGTTTCCCCAACTTTGAGAATCCGTCTTGAGGGGTTGGCAACCTCGAATCTGACAGTGATTTTGAACTTCAGACAAGCGAGAGAGGCTTCCCCGCTCTGAGCCTTAGGTTTTCTCCCTGAAGAAATGGGGATCACGACAGTACTTGGCTCATATGCGATTAAGTTTTAGTATAAGAGGTTAGTGTAAGTTTTGAGTTATTTATAAAAATGTAGACCCTGCAAGCCACTTTCCAGGACTCTGACTTGCAGAGACATTACATAAATGTGCAAAACGGGGCGTAACAGGTGTTTTCTGCAGCCTAGTATTGTAATTGTGACACATTGGAAACAGCCTAAATATCCAGGAAGGAGTTCTTTCTGGTCTGTGATTTTATTTGAATTTCTACCTTCAACAGAAATAGTATTAAATAGTAATGAAAGCTGAAATCAAGAACAGAGCCAGTAAAAAGTAGCTATCAGTAATTGAGTGATTACCATGTGCCAGACACTGCTAAGTGTTTCCCTTGCATTAACTTAACCTTCCCAACAACCCATTGAGGTAGGTATAGTTATTGTGTCCCCGTATAGCGTGGAGAAACCGAGGTTCATAGTCATTTAACTGAGTTAGCTAAGATTACATTACTCGGGAGTGGAAGAGCTGGGATTTGAACCAGGTCTGTCTGATGTGTTCAGTTGACTGCTGCACTATGCTGCCTTTCTGGTACATAGCAAGTGCTGAATAGTAACTGCTTTTTTGTTATAATGATGGGCTTGAACTAGGCATTCCCCAAGATCTCTTCCTTCAGTCTCCTTCTGGTTACTGAAAAAATAAATAAATATTTCTTCCTGCAGATTATTTAATTGACTTATTTACTTATTTTGAGACAGAGTCTCACTGTGTTGCCTGGGCTAGAGTGCTGTGGCGTCAGCCTAGCTCACAGCAACCTCTAACTCCTGGGCTCAAGGGATTCTCCTGCCACAGCCTCCCGAGTAGCTGGGACTACAGTCATGCGCCACCATGCCTGGCTAAGTTTTTCTATATATTTTTAGTTGGCCAATTAATTTCTTTCTATTTTTAGTAGAGACTCTCAGGCTGGTTTTGAACTCCTGACCTTCAGCAGTCCTCCCGCCTTGGCCTCCTAGAGTGATAGGATTACAGGTGTGAGCCACCACGCCCGGCCTCTTCCTGCAGATTCTAACATCTGGAAATCTTTGCTCTTCTCTTTGGCTTTCCCTTTTAGGATTCCCAGGAGCCATGTTGTCAGAAGTTCTGCTGGTGTCTGCTCCGGGGAAAGTCATCCTTCATGGAGAACATGCTGTGGTCCATGGCAAGGTAAGAAGCTCCTAGAGCCTTCGAGGATTGGGCACCACTTCTCCCTGTCACTAATCTTACAAGAAGGTAAAAGGAAGCTCTGAGGCATAGCTTGGGAGCAAATTAGAGAGGAAGTCAGTTCCTTCCCAGCCAGGCAAGGAAAAGATAGGTCTTTTGCCCACTGAAGGGCTTTCTGGTTTCACTTAGTATGGTAGCAAAAAGATGATATATAAAGCCCTGCAAGTGGAATGAGATCACCTAGGAATTGAGCTCCGGTGGAGAAGAAAATAAGTTTGAGGACTGATCTCTGGGACACTCAGATGTTTAGAAGTTGGAAAGATGATCTAGCCCATGCAGTACCTCATTTAACCCTTACAACTACCCTGGTGAGGTACATCCTTTTATTATCCTGTTTTACAGTTGTAGAAGCTGAGGCTTAGGAGAGAATTGGTAACATGACCAAGGTCCCATACACCTTGGTAGAGCTTAGAGTGAGCCTAAGTCTGTCTGAACCCAAAGTTCATACTTTTTCCATCTTCCACTCTAACTGCCATTCTTAATGTTCCTAACTTATATTTCTCTTTAAAAACATGGTGATTATGGGGAAGCAATTCCTTGGTGTTGAGAACCTCTGAAATTTCACATAGGGAAGGCAAATATAAGTGGATATTAACTCCTAATCGATTGGTGGTTGCTGTGCCCAGGCTTAGTGGGAGAGTGTGCCAGGGTTGATTAGCAGCGTCTGCCAAGGCCATGGGGGGAGTGGCCTGCATGCTGATGTTTGCCCTCTCTCCAGCACATTGGCACCAGCCCCTTTGCCACCTACCCTCAGGCTTATTGTTTTTGCCCTTTATTCTTTAGGTAGCACTGGCTGTGGCCTTGAACTTGAGAACATTCCTCCAGCTTGAACCCCACAGCAAAGGGAAAGTGGGCCTCCACTTACCAAACATTGGTGTCGAGCGGGTCTGGGATGTAGCCAAGCTTCAGCTGCTGGACACAAACTTTCTGGGTAGGTACAAGGAGGAGAACCCAGGTGTGGGAAGAGCCTGGGGCCCTGAAGAGAGGATGGAAGGAGGGCAGCTGGGTAGTTATTCCAGGTAGTTATGTCCCCGAGGGAGCCAGAGGCCATCTATTCCAGGGGTGTTTTCTATCTTGACCTCATAAAATTAGCTTCGCTTATTTATTTATTTTAAAATTTAAAAGTTTGAGGTTGCTGTGAGCTAGGCTGACACCAAGTCACTGTAACCTGGGCAACAAAGTGAGACTCTGTCTCAAAAAAGAAAAAAAAAAAAAAAAGCAAACAGCATGCATACATATTTATGTATAAGTATGTGTAGAAATGCATAGAAAAAGGTCTCAGGGGATAGACATCAAACTGGCCATAGTGATCAGTTTCGCTGGGAGGATTCTACAGACGGGGAGTGGGCAAAAAAATCCTTATATTCTATAATGTTTTAACAAGGAGAATATTTTGGCATCTTGTATAATTAAAAATTATTTTTAAAAATGGCCAGGCATAGTTGCTCATGCCTTTAATCCCAGGACTTTGGGAAGCCAAGGTGAGAGGATCACATGAGGTGAGGAGTTTGAGACCAGCCTGGGCAATATAGCAAGACCCTGTCTCTACAAAAAAATTAAAAATTAGCTGGGCGTGGTGGCACACACCTGTAGTTCTAACTCCTTGGGAGGCCGAGGCAGAAGGATTGCTTAAGCTCAAGAGTTCAAGGTCAATGAGCTGTGATAGTGCCACTCCAGCCTGGGCAGCAGAACAAGACCCTGCCTCTTAAAAAATATATTAAACATAAAAGTAACTTAAACTTATTATTGGAAAATACAGTCATTACTGAGCAATAGTAAGTAAAAAGAAAAAGAAAATCACCTATTATTGCCCTCTTCCCTCCCCTAATAATGACTCTAAGCATTTTGCTATTAATCATTCTGTACTATTTTCTGATGGATAGTGAGATTGATTGGGATAGGGAAATATCTTGTTTTTTAACCAAAATTAGGTCAGGCCATAGAAACCATTCAAAAATGTGTATTTTTTCTTCTTTGTGTCAGGTCTATCTTTCCATGCCAATAAATAAAGGTCTCTGTGCTAATTTCTGATAGCATTGGGGATGTTTCAGCTACTCATAAGCAGGCCAGCTCTTTCCAACATGGAGTTGCTGCCTGCCCCTGAGCTGCAGTTTTTTTGGTTTTTTTGGAGTTTTTTTGAGACAAAGTCTCACTCTGTTGCCCGGGCTAGAGTGCCGTGGCGTCAGCCTAGCTCACAGCAACCTCAAACTCCTGGGCTCAAGCAATCCTGCTGCCTCAGCCTCCCAAGTAGCTGGGACTGCAGTCATGTGCCACCATGCCTGGCTAATTTTTTCTATATATTTTTAGTTGTCCAGCTAATTTCTTTCCATTTTTGGTAGAGATGGGGGTCTTGCTCTTGCTCAGGCTGGTTTTGAACTCCTGACCTTGAGCGATCCTTCCACCTCAGCCTCCCAGAGTGCTAGGATTACAGGCGTGAGCCACCGCACCCAGCCTGAGCTGGAGTTTGTTTTCTATTCTCAATTTGCTGTCTCCTCTCTGGGCTGATGCCTCCTTGTTTGGAGTAGCGTTTCTTAGCCAGGGTGGGACAAATCTTCTAGGGTTTTTTTTTTTTTTTTTTTTTTTTTGAGACAGAGTCTCGCTTTGTTGTCCAGGCTAGAGTGAGTGCCGTGGCGTCAGCCTAGCTCACAGCAACCTCAAACTCCTGGGCTCAAGCGATCCTCCTGCCTCAGCCTCCCGAGTAGCTGGGACTACAGGCATGCGCCACCATGCCCAGCTAATTTTATATATATATATCAGTTGGCCAATTAATTTCTTTCTATTTATAGTAGAGACGGGGTCTCGCTCTTGCTCAGGCTGGTTTTGAACTCCTGACCTTGAGCAATCCGCCCGCCTCGGCCTCCCAAGAGCTAGGATTACAGGCGTGAGCCACAGCGCCCGGCCTTCTTCTAGGGTTTTTTTTCCAAATTGCACCTGAACCCTGAAAACCTGCTTCCTCCTCCCCAAAATAAGCCAGAGCCACTCCCATATGTTGGATACACATAGAGTAAGAGTTAAAAATTCTCATGTTAGAGCAACTATTTTGAACCCCATTGTGCCTTGGCGTGACCTGGGAGGTTTTTGTGGCTATTGCTTTAATTTTTACCTACATAGATAGATTCCTGGTGCTATTGCTCTTCTAGTGAGAGTTAGTAGTGGTGGTTAAAGGGGTTCCCCTGGGTGGTTCCAAGGTTACCCTCAGTTAAAAGCCACTGCTTTGGAGCATGCATCAGAAACTGGCCAGCCAGAGCATCTGAAACTTGCTTTCCATGGTACACCCATGGAAAGCTGGGTGCCCAACCAGGCCAGAAATGTCCCCTGAGAACCAGCTGCTACATTTATAGTCAGCAGCACGGGAGGGAAGCAGGCAGGTGTGGTGGAACATGCTCAGAACACTCCCACTCCCTGTGCAGCCCTGGGCAGGTCGCTTAATCCCCTGGGCCTCAGTGGGCAGGGTTGTGTCGTCAGACTGAGGCTGCTGTGAGGATTCAGAGGGTTGGAGGTGGGCACCAGGGCTGCGATGCCAAGTGCAGTCCATAGGAAAGCGTTCGGTAGTCTTGTTCCAGTAGGAAACAAAGAGAATCGGAGGCTTTGGAGACTTTGTCTACTGGTTGCAAGGATTTACCATCTTTTAATGTCCTTTTGCTCCCCCGAATAGTAAGAAACACAGTGAACATTTAGCAGGCATTTGTGTGTGCCAGGCGCTGATAAGCATGTTGTAGGCAGTGTTATTCATCCCCATTATACAGTTGTGAAAGTTAAGGTTCAGAGGTGAAATGGCTCAGGTCACGCAGCTTGTCAGTGGTGCAGAAAGAATTCAGACCCAGGTGTCCCTAAACCCCAGAGGCCAGGCTCCCAACAACTCTTCCGTCTCCATCACAGAGCTCGGAAAGATCTGGGCTCTCAGTGACGTCACTGGCCTGGCTGTCTGGGATGTACCATGAATTCATTCAACACGTATTTACTGGGCACCTAATAGGTGCCCTGAAGTTTCCTACCCAGGCACACCCAGCTCCATTTCCCATTCTCTTTAGAATTTGACCTGAGGCTCAGGCAGTGATTCGTAGAGGCAAGCTGGTCAGACTGGCTCTGCCTCCACCGTGTCTCCCAGGAAAGTGGCCCAAGCCCTTACATGTCACTGGGAAAAAACCTGCTACCTCACCTTTCCTGCCCAAGCAACATCTTGTGTTTACAGGTTTCATTTGAGTGTTCTATTCTCACTAATGATCTTTTGGGAGAGGAAAATATTTGGGGAATAACTTAGACTCCCTTTGATTTTGGTTTCCTGCAATGGAAGGTGAAACCCTGGCCCTTAATTGTTAAGCTAGCAGTGTGTGTGTTTAAACAATTAAACAGTTCCTACAAGGCCAGGAGCTGTGCTAAAAATTTTGCGTCCCTTATTTAGCTTTATCTTCCTGGCAACCCTGAGAAGTGATAATATTGTTGTTATCCCTGTTTTACAAAGTAGAGAAACAGGTTCAGAGAGGTTGAGTCACATGCTCAAGGCCACACAGCCAGTAAATGGTGCAGTCAGGATTTAAACACAAGTCTGCCTGAAGTTGGTGAGCACACCTAGTTGTGGCGTCTGGACCGTGAATTCACGTCTGTCCCCGTTCTTGATTCCAGTGACTGCTCGATTTTCTGTTTTTAAAAGTGCCCTCTCACCCACCTGTGTTTGCTTGTTTGCCTGTGGGACAGGACAAGGCGACGTCACAGCGCCCACCCCAGAACAAGTGGAGAAGCTGAAGGAGGTGGCATGCTTCCCCGAGGACTGTGCTGTCACTGAGCGCCTGGCTGTGCTGGCCTTCCTTTACTTATACCTGTCCATCTGCCGGAAGCAGAGGTGCGTGCGTGGCCCGGGGAAGGAGTCCAGATTCCGCCTCCCACGGAGGAACAGGAAGGGTTTCTGTCCTTGTCACTGCTGGCGAGCGCACCTGCTCCCCTATTGGTTTGTAAGAACAGCAGCCCTCCTCCTCACCGTGTGCCAGGCACCCTACCAGGCAAGGCTTTTGACCTTCACAGCCACCCCAGGAGACAGGCACCGTCCTTATCTTACACCTGGAGAAACAGACTCAGGAAGCTCATTCAGTCCATTTTAATACCAACACCTACAGCTTAACCCCAACTTTCCTCCCCTGATCTCCTGGATTCAGCAGAACCAAAGCCAAGTTCCATTCTCGGCTCCTCGGTGTGGCCTCCCCCGTGCCCTGCCTGTAGCAGTACCTTCCTTACGCATCTCACTGGCTCCTGGGAAACTTCGATCAGCAGAGTGGAGCCTGCGTTCACTTTGCCGTTTACAATAAGATCTGGGTTACGTGCCCCTGGGCAAACCAGCTCCTAGAGGGGCCACGACTGTAAAGGTTGTGTCGCCTGTGCCAGAGAGCAGGAGCTAGAGAGGTAGACTGTGTTGGCTCACACCCCCGCCGTCCCTCTTACTAGCTTGCTTGAGGCACATATCCTCTCTGAGCCTCAGCTTCCTCATCTCTAAAATGGGTATAGGAATAGTACCGACCTCACTGGGTAGTTAGGAAGTTAAATGAGTTCATTTATCTAAAGTGCCTGGCGTGCAGCTTGATACATGTTAGCTATTATTATTGATAATAATTTTCCCAGAAAACTACAGAGAGGATTCGATACACATATAAAATGAGCCCAGCACTGTAACTGGCACATAATGAGTAGTCACTATTTTTTTTGTCTAGAACCCACAGGGAAAAACATCAAGGGCTGCCCTTCCCTCGAGCCGCAGGCGCCGTTCAGTGGCCGGGCACGATGCTGAGTGCGCGTTGGTAAATGGCCCGACACTTGCAGTCTGTCGCAGGGATTTTCAACTTAAGAGGGGCATGTCCCCTTCAGCGGATGGGGGCATTCCATCCCAATGTAGGTGGGGTGGGCACATATAATTCAAAAAGGCACATTCAGTGTTACAATTTTTATATTTGGAAAATGGGAAAAGTACTTGTGAAAATGACTGACCACGCAGTTTGACGGTTCTCACGTGGGGGAAATACAGGTAGGATGCAGCGGTGCCGAATTTCCCAGTGATCACAAGCAGCCCCGTGTCACGCGTGGTTGGGGGCACTGTCCGGTGGGAGAGGCCTCTGCGAGGACACACAGTCGCGCTGCGACTAGGCGGCAGAGGAGGGCAGGCGCGTGCCGGGGGCCCTGGGCGGGGAGGCAGGAATGGCCTGTGTAAGGTAGTCAGGGAAAGTGTCTCGGTGGAAGTGACATCTGTAAGGTCTTGAAAATGTCTCTGGGGAAGGAAGAGGCATGAGGCAGACCGTCGCGGGCTAAGGGTCCAGCCTGTGCCAGGGGAGAGCCCCTCGTGTGGCGGGGCGCGAAGGCTGGATGAGGGGGGTGGCGGTTTGCTGGGCGCTTTTAGGAGGCGCTCTGGTCGGACAACACAGGGACTCGCGTGAATCGGGACCTGTTTTCCAGTTGTGTGTCCCAGCATGAGTTCCTGCCCTGCAGTAGGGGCGCCTTTGGGGTCGTGAAATCTCCGGAAATCTGGGCTAAACGCTACGAGTCAGGCCCTATCAGCGTCCAGCCCCTGGTTCAACGTTGGCACCTCTCACCACGTCACCTCTCCTCAGGACAGTCACATCTGTCACCCTGGTGTGTTTCAGGGCCCTGCCGAGCCTGGACATCGTGGTGTGGTCACAGCTGCCCGCTGGGGCGGGCCTGGGCTCCAGCGCTGCGTACTCGGTGTGCCTGGCGGCTGCCCTCCTGACAGCCTGTGGGGACATCCCAAACCCACTGAGGGACGGGGATGACACCAGCAGGTAATCACGGTCCTCGCCCTGGTCACTGTCCTGTGCAACAGGACCCAAGTGTAGATTCTCCACTGAGACCCCCTGCCACCCTGGAAGGTGAGAGCTGCCATGGTGGCCATTTCACAGATGAGGAAACTGAGGCCCCAAGAGGCCACACAGCTGGCGCAGGGCTGCACAGTGAGTGACGGCAGAGCGGGGTTTGAACCTGGGCAGTGGGAATCCAGAGCCAGAGCCCTTCTCGCCTGCACTGAACCACTGCTGCCGCCCCAGCCTGTGGGTCCAAATGCCCAAGGGGTGGCAGAAAGAACTTGAGTCCGGATGTAGAGGGCAGTGAGTGAGACGAGTGTCTGCGTTCACTCGCTGTGGGTCCTTGCCCTGGTCACTGTGTCCCTCGGAGCTTCAGTGTCACATCCACTAATTCCTTGTCTGAAACACGTAGGCTCAAACACAATGGAATTCACACTGAGCCCAGGGGCTGCTTTGATCCTTCCAGGCCACAGGGGGTCTGGGGGCTGTGGATGGTCTGTCTCGCAGCTTTCCCCAGAGTCGTCTGAATGGCCCTGCATGTGGGAAGAGTAGGAGCTGCTGTTCCTTAGGGGAGACCGAGGCAGTAACGAGAGAGTGTACCTGTAGGGAACACAAGAATTTCAATAAGGTTTGCCTTTTGTTTTTTTTTTGTTTTGTTTTTTTGAGACAGAGTCTCACTTTGTTGTCCAGGCTAGAGTGCTGTGGTGTCAGCCTAGCTCACAGCAACCTCCAACTCCTGGGCTCAAGCGATCCTCCTGCCTCAGCCTCCCAAGTAGCTGGGACTACAGGCATGCGCCACTATGCCCGGCTAATTTTTTCCATTTTTAGTAGAGACAGGGTCTCGCTCTTGCTTAGGCTGCTCTCGAACTCCTGAGCTCAAATGATCCACCCACCTTGGCCTCCCAGAGTATAAGGTTAGTCTTTTAACCTGCCGGGTGGCCTTGTGTAACTGCTTCTCTTTGGGGCTCCAGTTCCTCAGCTGAAAAGAATTAGGGGCTGGACCAGATGCTCCCCTGGGGGCCTCCTGCAGCCTCGCTGTCTGGTGAGCCTGTGATACGAGGGGGACTTAGAAGAGCGGCTTCGACACAGCTGCTCATCACTGTGTGCTAATTGCTGGTTATGACCGAGACCAGGGAAGGCCTGGCTGCCCTGGGTCGCTGAACAGACACGCGTGCATGGGCCAGCCGACCAACTCCGCCTTTCAAAAGGCAGAGGCTGGCTGTGGGCGCAAGCACATGCGGCCGATGGTCTTTCTCAGGCTGCTTCTGAAAACCAGTCTCCCCCCTCCCCTGAAGGCCCCGTCACTCCTCAGAGCCCTTGGGGAGAGCAGACCCCAAGCCCTGCCCTGCCCTGCCCTGCCCTGCTCTGCCCTGCCCCCCACCCTGGTATTTCCAAGTCAGAAAGGACTGGAGCCTGGTCTCCTTTGAAGACTTGAACCTCAGCCCCCTGAAGAATGAATCGTGCACAGAGTAGGAAGAAGACGGGCACTTGTTGAGCAGGCTGGGCCTTGGGCTAGGTCACCTGCTACTCTGATGGCTCATTTCTTCTCAGTCTGCTGCCTTTGGGTCCCTGGAAAGGGCCAGCAAGCTCTGGTCTGGTTTCAGGTGTTGCACAAGCTGGTCACTCTGCCTGCAGTGCTGTCCCTCCAGCTTGCCTCGCTGACTGTCCCTTGTCCCTCAGCACCCCACAATCAGAATGAGGTGTACCCCATGCAGCCTGCATTGATTGTTCTTACAGAAGTGCCATCGCTTTGCACTTTAACTACTGCAGCGTAACTGTACAGTTGCTCGCTGACCTCCACTTTCTCCAAAAGACGCCAAGCTCCAAGAAGTCAGTTTGGCTCCCTGCTATGAGCTCAGTCGCAGACACATGGTAGCTGCTCAATAAATACTGAACGCAGGAGCGACGGAATCTTGTTGGCATGGTAAAGTTTAGGAGTTAAGAGCTTGGGCTCCAAGTCTGCAGATGTGGCTCTGGGGTAGCAGTGAGTGGTACTGTGATCCTTGGGGATCCTTAGGGTGCTGTTTTCCCCAGCTGAGCCTCAGTTTCCCCTTCTGTAAGAAACAGGATAATAATCGTACCTTCCCTGTAGGCTTATTGAGAGAGTTACAGAAGATGGGCCATTTGAGAAGGCATCTACCACGACGCTTCCCATAGTGTTGACCAGTGAGAACTCATTAGTAATCATAGCCTCCCAGCTACCTTGTGAGTTGTAGGTCCAAAATAATCCTCAATTGACAGATGTGGAAAGAGACTCAGAGAGGGTAATTGACCTGCCCAAGGCTGCACAGCAAAGGAGTGGTCAGACTGGCTTTAAGTACATCGAGGCGCTACGATCCCAGGTGGTCTCTCTAGGGGGGAGCACGTGCTATCTCCTGGGCGTCATACAGAGCACGTGTGCGTGTTCTTCCTCTCGCCATAGCCCCTGTGAGATAGACACTACCAGCCCTGCTTGACGGATGAGAAAACAGCGTCAGAGGTGAAGCCATTGCTCAGGGATGCCCCGTGAGTCGGGGACAGAATGGGGTTCACAGCGGACCCCTGCGTACTCCGTCTCTCTGCCACTGAGCCACACGCCATTCTCAGACGTCACTAAACCACCTGAGGCTTCTGCCTCTCGTGGGGAAGGGAAGCCCCAGAATTCCCTCCCCAGGAGCCGAGCGCCGGGAGCAAAGCGGGGACGGGGCTGTTTCCCCTGTTCCTTACTCGTGTGTTTTGGGTCTGTCACTCGAACCGCTTGCGAGCTCACACCTGCTCCATGGAATGCAGCGAGGCCACGTGCTTGGGAGAGAGCTGCAGGTAGCTGGCAGCATCCTGGCCCCCCGGGGTGCCCAGGGCACCCAGAATTTGGATTTATGACGATCGTGCTTTGGACCTCCTTGCAGGGCCCTGGGAAGCAGTGGCACCGCCACTCACTCTTCTTCAAGGGAGGCGTGTTGGGGTGCGGGTGCTTACGCAGAGTCTGTCGTAATTACCACCTGCTGACCGCACGCCTTGCAGGCGCCTCGCCAGCGTTGGGCACACGTGCAGCTAGCCTCCGAGGAGGGTGGAGCTTCCGTTCTCCAGCTGGGGAGAGAGGCTCAGAGAGGTCAGGTGGCCGACCCCGAGGCATTCAGCTGGTAAGAGGCAAGGCAGGACTGTGGGAAACCGAAGCTCGGTCCTTTCCACTGCTCCAGGCGGGTTTCAGGGGGAAGGGAAGGTTCGGAGCTGCCTTGTTCTTTCTGAGCTCGGGGGCCAAGCTCCTTGGCCTCTTGGCCTCCGCCCAGCACAGGCTGTGAGCCCTGGCGCCCCCCACCCCACCGCGGTAAAGACAGGCTTCTGTGTCTTCAGGTGGACCGAGCAGGATCTGGAATTGATTAACAAGTGGGCCTTCCAGGGCGAGAGAGTGATTCACGGGAACCCCTCCGGAGTGGACAATGCCGTCAGCACCTGGGGTAGGTGCAGCCTCGGGTTTGCTTTCTCTGTTTTTATCTTTAAAGCTCTTACTGCAGTCGTAGGTGCCCAGGCATCTGTGTTGGTTTAGGTCGAACAGAATCAATGGATTCTGAGGAAAATAGCATTTTCCTGTTTTAGGGGGGGAACAGGAGAAATCTTGGGGGTCCACCTCACACCCTCTGACTGAGAACCTCGGGGGGTGCAACTGGGGCGGGGGAACTGCAGCTCCCGTGAGCCCCAGCGGGGGTTGCACGGTCGACCTGCAGAGCCGTCGCCTTGGAAATCACAGACCACGCAAGTGGCCCCCTCTGGCGAGGACTCCTGCGTCCTGGGCCCTCCTTACCAGGTGGCCTGCAGGGAAGAGAGGCACCCATGAGCCCATGGCCTGCTGACAGCTTCCTGGCAGAGCTGAGGCGACCTTCTTGCCCTTCCGGACGTTTTGTAGCTGGAGCTGAGATGACTCGTTATGTTGAGCCTGTTCCCTGGAACCCCCGCCCAAAGTCCCGTCCCTGCCAACAGGCAAAAGTCTGTAGCTTTCCCCACAGTTCTGACCCGCGCCTTCTTCTCTCTAGGAGGAGCCCTCCGATACCAGCAGGGGAAGATCTCACCCTTAAAGAGGTAATTCGTGGGGAGAGTGGCACATTCCAGCACGTGGCCTCCTCCACGTGTGCGGTGGGCGTTCTGCATCTTCAGGAAGGATCAGTGCCACACGGGGCGGCGTCCCTGGCTGGCCCTGGCCGTGCACTGGCAGTGAGGAGCGCCTGGCAGTGGCACCGTCCGTCTCCTCTTCAGGGAGGGCAGCGAGAAAGTCACATGTGGGTGTCCTTTCACCTCCCGGGAAGTGGCTGTGCCCCCAGCCCCTTGGGTGCTCATGGATTCCTTCATTCGTCTGTTCATTTCGTAAACCAGATCGGACTAGGCCCTAGGAACACAAAGACCAACCTTGGGCGCAGTTTCCAAGAGCTCTCGGTCTGCCGGGGACATGGGGGACCAGGGACACACATGCTCACAAAAGCCACCATGAAGCAACACGAGAGTCGCCATGGCGGAGGCACGCCAGGCAGGTTTGGGGGGGCTCAGAGCAGAAGCGACGTTTGTCCGCGCTCAGCGTGTTTTACACGTTTCTACACCCCCCTCCCCGTGGAGCAGCGGGGATCACACGCGTCGAACCTCCACACCCTCGGTTCCGTCAGCGCCCACGGCGGCAGTGCCGGGTGCAAGAATTCAACACGTGGCAAGACGGAGCCAGGGATTTTGGCTGTCCCCTGAGCCCTCGATCAGGTTGCGTGGCGTTGTTTGTCCCAGGCCACCTCAGTGAGCGTCCCGGGGCCATCCTCCCTGCAAATGAGCAGCAGGTCCTGGCCCGCTGCCGCCGCCTGTTGGGCCATTCCGCTGGCACTCAGCAGCCTAGTGTGCCGTGGTGCCCTGCCTCCATCTGCAACTCGGGATCTCCCTGTCCCAGCGCCGTCGGCTTCCAGGGGCTGGCCCACCTTTCCGAGGCTCTACACCAGGCTGTCTCGACCTTGGCACTGTCCACACCTGGGGCTGGACCATTCTTTGTGGAGATCGGCTGTCTCCAGACATTGCTCAGTATTCCCTGGAGGGCAGTGTCACCCTCGGAGCCCACCCCTGCTCTTCAGAGGAGCCGTGGAGCAGCGTGTGCTGGCTGCTCAGGACTCGCTGCCAGTGTAGCCCGGGTCCCAGGCGGAGGTTGGCTCTGCCAGCTGTCCCATCCATGCAGACCCGGAGGGGAGGCCGTGGGGGATCCCAAGGTGCCTGGGCCTGCCCCCAGGGGCCCGCGGTCTACTGGGGGAGGCAGTCACAACTGTCACGATCAGAGAGGAGCATCCAGAGAGTTCTGAAGCTGCTCTGGGGGACAGCGAGTGGTGTCCTAGATGCGGCTGCGGGTCTGGGCGACCGTTCGCGGAGGCGGTGACGTCAGAGCCGCTCATACCCTAAGCGCCGGATCAGGCCCTGGGCTAGAAAGCTACGACATGGCTCGGGCACCCTGCCTGTGCTGGAGGGAATCGCAGAGGCGGGGGGGGGAGGATGGCCTGTTGTTGGCAGTGCGTTGGCAGGGGCTCTGGGATTCGCAGGCCCGGGGTTCGAATCCAGCTCTGCCAGCTGGGTGCCCTCGGGTGTGCCATTCTCCAGAGACCTCCGTCTCCTCATTTATGTGATGATCAGAGACAGTGTCTATAAGGTGCTTAGCGCTTTGCTGACCGAGTTTATTCAGCCAGCCCACAATCTAATTGAGCACCTACTGTGTGCTGGGCACTGGGGCCTCAGCAAGGAACAAAACAAAGCCCGGCCTTCGTGGAGCTCTTGCTTTTGTGGGAGGGGACAGCAGCGCTGGGAGAGCAGGGCAGGCGGTCTGAGTGCCTTTCGCAAACACAGCAGGGCCAGGGACGGACGAGAGCACAGAGCAGAGCGGCCTTCGCCACCGGTGACGGGGCGTCTCGGTGAGCAGATGGCGGGTTCTCTGAGCAGCGGGGAGGGTGGACTCCGCACTAATCCCACCGATGGCTCAAAGCGGAGCTTTGCCCCAGACCGCGCGCGTGCTTCTCCGTAACAAAACGCATTGTTTGCGAAGTGGATCAAGATGCGGCCTCCCAGAACACTGCCCTTTTGAGGAATGGCTTGTCTTTGAAGGGAAGAGAAAAGCCAAATAGAATGTTCATCTTTTGTAAAGTTCAAAAAAAAAGCTGTGCCGGCCTCCAGGGCTGAGAAATCGATATTAATTTCATGGGCTCGTGGGCGGCAAGATAAAGCAGGTTTCTGGCAGCCTTTCCCAGCCCGATTGGATTTTGCAGCCGAGGACTGCAAAGACAGCGAATGAAGGTATCAGGGCTGGGCCCGTCTCCAGCCGTCTCGGGCCAGAGCTCGCCCAGTGCCCCGCCCTCTCGGACGGGCAGGTTGGGCGACAAATGTTGGCTCAAGCCCTGGAAGACGGCTAACCACAAGGACAATTGGGATTGTGGCTTTAGGAGGGCTTATAGAGCTCGTCGGGGGCAGGTGAGGACAGCGGGGTCATCCTGGGGAGTTGGCTGGCTGCCGGGGCACATCTGTTCTACGCGGGGCAGCCACGGGGGCGACTGATTCTGCGGGCACATCTGGACCAGGCTGCCGGCCCTTGGCACCGTCACAGAGGGCAAGAAGGGACCCAGCGTGCCGGGAGCCGGCCTCCTGGGCAGCTCCGCCCTCCCCTCCCCCCCTGCTGCACTTGCCACCTCGGGGTTGCCAGCTAGCCTGGCGTCCATCCCGGGCCTGTCGCTTTGTCTTTCTGAAACTCTGGCTCCCCAAGGTGGCACACACAACCAAACCCCGGCCCCTCCTGCGCTCTCTGCCATAGCCACTTAGAACATCTAATGGGACGAATGTGCCATGTTCCACCCGTCCGGGCTTTTATGTCCGGGCTCCGCAGGCCAGAAATACTTGTCCTTCATGCTTTTGTCCTGGTCGGTTCTTACCCGTCCCCAGTTCTCGGCTTCTGCGTCATGCTGTGGACTTTCTCCCCCTCCCCTCCCCTGCCCCCTGGGCCAAGCTGTGCCTAGGACATAGTAGGTGCCCAGTTGATGCTGAAGGAATGAATGAGTGAATGAGCAGCCAATCGAGGGTGTGCATCTGCCCGTGGGCTGAGGTGGAGACACAGCCGTGGCCAGTGGCAGGACTCCTCTTTCCTCCCAACCCAGCATCACTTGCCTCTGCGTCCTCCTCTGTGTCAGGGCAGGGTGGCGTCCTGGGTTGCTCCCAGCCCTGGAGCTCAGTGTGGACCTGCCTCCTCTTCCCCCCCACAGGCCACCGGCTCTCCAGATCCTGCTGACCAACACCAAGGTCCCTCGCAGCACCAAGGCCCTCGTGGCTGGCGTCAGGACCAGGCTGATCAAGGTGCTTCTCTTCCTGGGCAGGTTTCATGCGAGGCCATGACACTATCCCACTGGGATTTTCGATGTCTCTCCCTGGCTGCGGGGTTATAGAGGGGCATCGTGGGCGGTGGGTGTGGGGAGCCTTTGGGGAAATGGTTTTGGCGGAAAAGAAGGTGCTGTCTATGCCCACACCCCGGCCAGGAGGCAGGACAGGGAGTCCTGAAAGGACAGTGCTCGGATCCATTAGACACGCTGGCTTTGCAGCGGGAATCCCCCTCCTGCAGGTGGGGGCAGCTGGCAAGGGCAAGGCCAGGCCGGAAGGAAAGTAGGTTTCTCCAGAGGATGGGTGTGGCCGTGGGGACACCTTCACCACGTTGCTGGGCAGCTGTCCTGCGCCTGCCCGTCCCCCGGCCTCACAGGCCACGCCTTCCCTTTCTTCCAGTTCCCGGAGATCGTGTCCCCTGTCCTGACCTCCATAGATGCCATCTCCCAGGAGTGCGAGCGCGTGCTGGGAGAGATGGCGGCGGCCCCCGCGCCGGAGCAGTACCTCGTGCTGGAAGTAAGAGCCCGTGATCTGGGGAAACCGGGGTTCCTCCGTCCTCCCCTCTGCCTGAGACAGTGGCCCCCCAATTGGAGTGTGCTTCAAATCCCCCGGGAGCCAAAACACGGCGGCCAGGCCCTGCCTGTGGTCTACACTGTCAGGAGCCCCAGGCTCGGGCCCAGAGTTAGCGTGTGCACACAAGCGTGTCTTGTCTTAAAGCCTCTTCCCGGGTGATTCCGAGCCACGGAGAGGGTCCCTGGAAGGCGTTCGGGGCAGCGCCTGGCGCGTGCTGAGCGCTGGAGGCGGCTCTAGGTCACACGTTGAAGGGGCTCCGGCCCACGTGGGTAGACAGAGATTTGCCAGCAGAGTTCTCTATTGGTCCAGGAGCAATTTCTTACCTGGCCGCCTCCTCCCTGCTGTTAGTGCTAACTGCATGTGTTCGTCCAACAGCTATTTATCAACCGCCTGCTTTGGGCCAGACAGGTTCTAAAGTTGTTTTTTCATCCTTGGAGCACCAGCGACCAACATTTGCATAATTCTAGTGTAGAGGCTGAGACCTCGTACTTAGGATTTGGTCCGGCCTGGGTCTGGATCCCGGCTCTGCCTCTGCCTGCTGTGTGGCCTCACTGGAGTGTCTTAACGGCGCTCGGGGTCCCGTGGGTGACACACAAGCATGATGCCTGGTGCGCCACGAGCTCCGACATGGTCCATCTGTCCTGCTGAGTCTGGACTGACACTAAAAAGCCATCGGGCTGCCCTTGAAGAAGGAGACGATCAGACAGGCCTGGCCGGCCTGGCTGTGCCGTGGCTGCCAAGTGGAGGTGCAGGAGAGGGCCCCCTCGAGAGGGGCCATGCTGTCTCCATCTCACCAGAGCCCCCGCCCCTCTGTAACTGCGTGCCGGCTGCAGTCGCCACCTGGTGCCTCCTTGACCCCTGTGGATGTTTGAGTCTGCAGCCCCTATGCCACATGGAAGCTGCTGCTAAACGAGCCTTTTACAAATGATTTTTCCCTTGATCCTTCCAATAACCTACCTGTGAAATAGGTGCCTTGTCCCATTTTACAGATGCCAAAACTGAGGCTGAAAGAGAGTGACTTCCTCCAAGGTGATCCAGTTAGTGAGTGGCTGAGTCAGGGATCAGACTGACTGGCTTGCTTATTCCTTTTCTCAACAGATCTTTAATGAGCGCCCACTGTGCCGGGTGCAGGTCCTCCAGCTAATCCCTGTGCTTTTGCCCTCACTCGCCCAGCCTTTGTCTTCCTGGCTCTCAATCCTCTCCGCGTAGAAAGGAGGAGACACAGTGCCCCTGAGTAGGAAATTAATAATGATAGAGCACTGCCTAAAATACACCCTGTTGAGCCCCCAGAGAATGCCGTGGAACAGCATGTTGATTATACAATGTGTATTTTTGGCTGTGGCAGCCACTGAAATGTGTGGTTCAGCTCCTGGGCAGCTTTGCACTCAAACCAGCGAGCTGTTCTCCTGTGTCACAACCTGTCATCTGATCCTTGACAGATTTTGGATCAGAATGTGACAGGTGTCTGGAACCTGCCTCGGCAACGTGACACCTGGCACTCAGGCGCGGAGAGAGGCCCCCAGAAGGCGTCTTTCACATCCAGCCTGCCGGGCCGGTGAAAGGCACCCGGGGCTGCCACCGGGCCATCAAGCCTGTCTGCTCGTTTGTCACAAGTGCTGGGGGCTGTGAGGTGGGTTGGGGGGCAGCGTCCTACCCCTGCCCAGCAGGCCACCCCCACATGCGAGAACCAAGCGGGCCCCGCAGCGGTGTCTCAGTGATCGGCACCTGGCTGCGCATGGGCACTCTCGGCACCTTGGGGCAGAGCGTCGCGCCGTCACGCCACGCGCCCTGCTCGCTGCCCGCGGGAGTGGGTGGCAGCAATGCAGAGTGCTCTCAAGGGCAGCATAGACAGGAGCTTCGTGCCAGCCAGACCTGGCTTCCAGTGCCAACGTGGTCCCTTACTAGCTTCATGACATTGGGCAAGTCGCTCGCCTCTCTGAGCCTCAGTTTCCCCCCTTTGTAAAGCGGGGATGATGGCAACGTATGGATAAAAATACCAGCGGCAGCCCATGTTGGCAGAGCACCTGTCTCGTGCCAGACGTTGTACAAAAGACTCACTTCGTTTCAGCCTCATGGCCGTGTGACACTACAACCCCGGATATAAGGGAAGAAGCAGACTCAGCAAAGGGCCTTGCTCAAGGACACACACCCAGGCCCACCTGACTCCAAATCCCATGTTCTTAACTTCCCAAGGGCGGGAGGCAGGGCCAGATTCTCATCCTCAGAACCCCGGCACCTGGGGAGCGTTTGGTGAATGAAATGTCAGTAGTGGATGTCTGGGCAGTAGGAGCTGTTAGTTTATTATTTCATCCATGTACGTCTTGTTTGGTCCTTGGAGAGCAGGAGTTGTATTATGCAGAACTGAAGAAACCTAGACAGACATTTAGCTGTTTCCCCACTCGTGAACTTGCTGGAATTACAGCCCAGTTCTCATTCTGAAATCAGTCCCTGAGGCAGCTGGCTGTAGGGTGGCATGTTATTTCTTCCTTTTGCAAATGACAGAAATCCATCTCAGCTAGGCTTTGGTGGAAAAGGAATTTATTGGCTTCTAACTGAGAAGACCAGTAAACAGCTTCAGGTATAGCTTGATCTAGGGCAGGCATCCTCAAACTACTTCAAAATAAGATATGTGCAGTGTGCATAGGAATTTGTTCATGGTTTATTTAAACAATAGTCCGGCCCTCCAACGGTCTGAGGGACAGTGAACTGACCCCCTGTTTAAAAAGTTTGAGGACCCCTGATCTAGGCGCTGAAGCAATGTGGTCAGGAATCTCTCCATCTTCCATGCCGTCTCTGGCCATGTGGCAGGGCCGATCATTTTGGTAGCCTGTGTCTGAAGTCAACTAGTCCATTAGCAGCTCCAGTGGAAAGGGGAAGAGAAAATACTGACTGGCCCAGCTTGGGCCACGAAGCTTCTGTGGCCAGGCCTAGGATACGAGCTCAGCTCCATCCAAGCCCCATGGGAAGTCCTGCAGGAAAGAGAGGTTCTTTTACCAGTAGAGAGAGAGAGACAGTGTGCCAGGTGGTCAAAGCCATTAGCCGTCCCAGAGCAGCAGCTGTCAGGTGGGCAGGACAGCCATGCAGGTGGGCAGAGGGCCTCCGCCTCAGGCAGGCCGAGCGGGAACCGCCTGCACCTTTTCCTGCAGGAGCTCATCGACATGAATCAGCACCATCTGAACGCCCTTGGAGTGGGCCACGCCTCCCTGGACCAGCTCTGCCGGGTGACCATGGCGCACGGACTGCACAGCAAGCTCACTGGTGCAGGTGGCGGCGGTTGTGGCATCACACTTCTCAAGCCAGGTACGGGGGTCGGTGGGGGGCAGGCTGGGTTGCCAGCCTGGGCTCCTTTGATGGTTCCATCCGGAGAATTCCCTTGGGGAAAGGGAGCAGCCTGCAGGCAAGTCTCAGCGCTTACGCGTGGCCTGGAGCAAGGTAATTGTCTGGGCCTAGATCTCTCGCAGATTCAAAGAGAAAAGTGCACCTGGAGAGCCCGGGACAGGGCGGGGCTGCAGTGGGCTGTCGCTGTGGCTATCACCACCACCTCCCGGCCTGCCAAGCCTCCCACCAGCCTGGGGACTAGCCAGGGCATTGTCACGGTCCGCGCCTGCCTCACCTTCCTCTCCCGCCTTGTGACGTGGCCAGGGTAGGGGCTGATCTTGCTACTAAATGTGGCTCTCTCGGGGAAGACACCTCCCGCGCTGGTGACTGGGGACCCGGCAAGGGGCTCCTGGTGGTGTTTAACTATCCGACACACCGTGTCTGTCCTCAGGATCATTCCTGGCATACAGGAGGCGCCAAATGTTCCCTTCTGTCGGTTCCTAGCTCGGGGCCCATGACGATGGTGAGCGCTGCCCAGTGTGCCAGGTGCCGGGCCAGGTGCTTCCCCCACATTGTCCCATTTAAGCCTCCCAGGAACCCCAGAGGCGTAGGTATTATTATCCCCTTTCCCAGATGAGGAGACTGAGGCTCAGGAAGGGGGAGTTGCTTGTCTGAGGCCGCATGGTCACTACACGGCAAGGCCAGGTGACTCGAGCGTGTGTTTCGAACGGTGGCTCCGCAGAACCCTGGGGCGCGAGCGGGCGCGAGGGCTTGGCGTGGCGCCGCCTGCAGGGGCTGCTGGGAGCCTCTCGGAGCCTCAAAGGCCTGTTGGCTCAGGAGGGTCACGGCAGGAAGGAGCGCATGAAGACGTGGACCCTGGGCCTTTTCTTTGAGTGGGATGAACTTTCCCGAAGGGAGTGGACAGTTGTCACTGGCGACCTGCCTTCCCTCCCCCAGGTCTGGAGCGGCCCGAGGTGGAGGCCACGAAGCAGGCGCTGACGGGCTGTGGGTTCGACTGCTGGGAGACCAGCGTGGGTGCCCCCGGGGTCTCCGTCCACTCTGCCGCCTCCCTGGACGGCCCCGTTCGCCAAGCCCTGCGAGGCCTCTGAGATGAGCCCATGGCACTGCTGCCCCACCACGAAGCCCCTTCTGGACCATTCCGGGGCTGGATTTGGCCTCCATGCTGGCCAGCGGGTGCCCAGCTCCTCTGCGATGCCTTTGCTGTCGCACCTGGCCCCAGTCCCCGCGCCGGGGACTCGAGTCTGCCGGGACTGAGCTGCCAGGGAGGCGCGGTCCGCCTTCCTTGCTCTGGAGCCAGCCAGGCGACGGGGCCCAGTGAGGGCCTCTGAGACTTCAGACCTGAGACACTGGAAGCTTCCCTGCGGCTCCCACAGACCCTTCCGCCCTCCCCTGCAGACTCTCTGGCCCGCCTGGTCGGATCCCGGGGTCTGTCCTGAAGCAGTGTACCTTCTCTCTCCCTCTGCCTCGACGCTTCCCCGTCTCCCCGGGCCAGGCTACGCCCACCTCCTCCAGGAAGCCCTCCCTGACCCCTGGCAGCACCACCTTGCGCACCTCCGTCCCGTGGCGCCCGCTGTCGGCACTTTCCGCGTCTTTCCTTCTGCCTAGCTGGACGGCCCCAGCGGCTGTCCAGGTGGGGTCTTTGCGTTCTGCCCTCCAGCCCGAGGGGCAGCGGAACGAAGGCAGGGCCAATGTGCGGTTTCTCCCAATCTGCACCCCAGGGCTTTGCAGAAAAGACGGCACAGGGGAATAAAAGGATCTCGAGTAAACAGTGCTTTACGCCGTGTCTAGAAAGACGGGCCCGGCGGACGCCAGCCCATCGTGCCTTCCTCCGTCCCTGTGCCCTCTCCAGCCGCTTTCTCCGTGAGCTCGTCAGCGGCTGAAGGAATGAATTAAGGGCTTTGGGTCACTGTGTGTGTCTTAGTGACAGGGCTGCTTTCCCAGATGGCCCCTGCTGTGCAAGGGACCAGGGCACGGCTGCCAGGACCGTGGCACTCGGGCCAGCAGCACAGCTCCAGGCTGCTTTTCCAGAGGGAACTGTTAAGCTTCCTACCTTCCGGAATCACGAGCACCCACTAGTGCACAGACTTTAGTAAACCGTGACAGAAACCTGCAGTCGCCACCGGAACATTCCTTTCTGAAATTAACTGACCCGGCGGGGAAGGCGGACTCTCGGTGCTCATGTCCCCAGTGCCTGTTTGAGGTTCATGTTTGAGGTTCATGTTGCAGGTCAGCTTGGCTCTTGGTGAAATGGAAGCCCGTGTCACTGTGGCGTTGCCAGCAGAACCTCTGGGAGCCACAGAACTGTGGTTCTGCTGGCGTTGCCAGCAGAACCTCTGGGAGCCACAGGTCTGCGGGAGGCAGGGCAGAAAGGTGGGGGTGGGGACGGGCATTTCAGGATTCGGTGGAAATGGCTCAGTGCGCGTCTGCCCTTGGCCACTAGGGGGCAGCTGGTGCCTTTCCCAGCCGGTGTCGTCTGGGGAGGGGGACAGTGAGTAGAGGCTGATCCCCACCCCTGTGCCCAGGCTCCTCTCTGGGCCCTGCCTGGGTCACTGCCGGGATGGGAGGGCAAGAGGAAGGACACCTGCCCCAGCATCGCTGATGGCGGTCCCCTGGCACTGCCCTTTAAAAACACAGTGCATAAAGCAATAATGTTAATACGGGGCCAGGCACTGCTCTAAGTACTGTACATACATCACCTCTTAATCTCTACCCCAACCTCAGAGTGCAATTTGCTAGTCTCAGCCCCATTTTACAGGTCAGGAAATGGAAGCTCAGAGAGGTTGGGTAACTTGTCCAAGGGCACAGAGCTAATCAGCATCTGAGGCAGGATTCAAACTCAGTCTGATTCCAGAGCCTGCTTTTGCTGGGCTCAGCTCTAGGCGCAGGTTCGTTGCAATTTTATAGCCTTCCATGCGCAGGGTTATTATTTCCTCGGGGTCCTGACGTACTTGGGCAGGGCAGGTCCTGGGCATGCGTACTTTTCTCCCCACTTGGTTTGAGTGAGCAGCCGGGGCCAGAGGCACCGTTCTCGGGGATGACGCCGGTTGCAGGGGGCGGGGGGCTGGGGGCTTCCCGGGGCTTCCATAGGTGCCCGGCACAGCTGTAAAACTGGGGTGGGGGGCAGAGACTGAGACCCCAGAGCCTGCCTGCTCCTTGAGGCCCTCCCTCTTTCCCATTCCCTGGGGCCAGGATGTCCCCCCTGGAGCAGGGCCCGACTCAGTGCTCTTGCCCCAGGGAAGCACCCGCCTGTGTGCCCTTGGCCAGCACAGCCTCTCCACCCAGCTGCCACATGGGCCTGGTGCCAGCCGCTCTTTGGCCACCTGTCTTTGATGTCCCTTTGCAGACCATTTGCATATGCAGCCATCACTCACTCCTCGGTGGGTACCGAAGTGGTTCTCACTCTTGGCTGCGTGAAATCACCTGGGGAGCCTCTGAAAGTCACCCAGGAATGCCTGGCTGTGTCCCCAGCTATCCTGGTTTAACTGGTCTCGATGGGACTCCATCACTGGGAACTTCAAAGCTCCCAGGTGATTCTAAAGTATGGCCCAGGCTCTACTTCAGCTCTGCCAACCCATTAGCCTTGGCAAGCCAGCCCACTTCTGGGGGCTGCCGCTTCCCATCTAGAAAGCAGGGTGACAATACCCTCCTTATAGGTTTATGGTGATTGAACACGAAAATACATAGAAAGCCCTTGTCACAGTACCTAACACATAGTAAGTGCTCAATAAATGCTTATTCTGACTGTCTTGTACTGAAAGATAAGGGTGTCTCTGAGAGCCCAGAAACTTCAGAAAGGTGTACAGAGCTGGTTAGAAGCACCCCACCCAGTCGGTGCAAAGCCCCTAGGTTGAGATCCCTTGAGTTGACGTCGGAGAAACCTAGCCACTGCCAACTGGCCTCCCCACCTCCCAGCTTGCTCCACAAAGAGGCGGTCACGTGGCACCAGCGTCCCCTTTGCCAGGGACAGCAGTTTCTCTCAAGCCAACATTTGGAGCTGCTCCCAGCCTCTGCAGCCCACCATGGGTTTAACGCCCACCCTCAGAGCCGGAAGTTCTTGGGGCAGCCCTGGGTCCGGCACGGGTCTCGCAGCCAAGACAGTAGCTGCTGCGGTTGCACCCACGTTCTTGCTGCCTGTCGGTGAGGGTTCTTCTCTCCCCGAGAGCGTGTCCCATGGGCCGCCGTCAGCCCGTCACCTGCAGCTGGCAGGTCCGCAGGCACACTCAGCGCCCAGCCCTGCCATCCCAGTGTGCTCGGGCCAGTCGGTCCCTTTGCCTCTCGAGGGCTCTGTTTCATTCTCATTCCTCAGCAAGAGCTCTGGGTAAGCACCCAGCTTGGTGGCTCGCCCCTCCCCTGTGCTCCCTTCCCCAGCCCTTCCCGGCTTCCAGCTAAGGTGGGACAAGCTCCTTGGCTGCCTCTTAGCACCACTGTCTGCCAGGAAGTGGCAGGTCACGTGCTTGCAGAGTCTGGGTCCTTGTTTTTGGCTTTCAAATTAGAATTTTTCTACCAATACAAAAACAATATGTATACACACTGTAGAAAGAAAATACAGGTATGCAAAAATAAGAAAATCAAATGCCATGTTTTTACCATGCAGAGATCATGCAACAGCTTCACCTCTCCCTCTGTGTGTATTTGTGTGTGTGTGTACATGCTGTTCAATAAAATGAGGTCATATTGTAAATGCTATTGCATTACCTGCTTTTTTCTGTTAGCGGTCACCTTTCTGTGTCCATTTGTTTTGTTTTGTTTTTAGTGCCTCTACCTGAGATGGAATCTGTGTCAATGTGTTTTAATCTCTAATGCCCAGGCCATAGTGACATTTCCCCCAACTGTCCCCCAAAATGTCCAGGACCCTGTCCAGTACCACACATCTGGCTGTCATAGCCCTGAATTCTCTTCTAGCCTAGCAGAGCAGCCCTACCACACGCGCACATAGACACACTTTATTTTTGCCATTACGTGACTTGCTCGAGAGACCCACCAGCCATCCCGCGGGGTGTCCTGTCGTCTGTGCTGGTCATTCAGAATCCAGCCCTTCCCTGTGGCGCTGAGAGCTGATAGCCAGCACTTACAGAGTGCCTACTGTGTGCCTGGTCCCTGTGCCACCTCTCTGTTCATTGAGATGTCATTCGTATCCCCATTCTGCTGGGGAATAAACTAAGGCCTGGGGAAGGGAAGGGACTTCGTTCGCCAGGGGCGTGAGGCAAGCAACAGAGCTGGACTCGAACCCAGGCCTCTGTGACCGCAGAGCCCTATTCCTTGCTGCCGTCCTAGGCCGCCACCTCAGGGACTGATCGGTGACTTCACATAGCCCCTCCCCTCCCTGTCTGATTGACAGGGTTGAGTTGTCACATCGCCCCAGCTCACCCTCCTGCCCCCCGGGCCCTCATTGCCACTGCACCTCGGACCCCCCTGCCTGTGACGACAAAGGGGCAAGCTGACCCAGCCACGCACGCTGCGTTCTCGTCTCTCACTGTGCCCGGAGCCCTCACCTCTGCACGTCCAAGGGGAACCTGGGCGCAGGGTGGAAAGAGCCTCACACCGTGCGTCTTCTCAAAACCAAAACAGATCAGGGCGAAAGTCTCCAATGTCAACCCAATAGATGTTTCAGCTGCTTGTAATTACGGTCCCAAAGTGTCACAGGAGAACCCTTGGGGATCACACGGTCCAATACCTCGTTTGCTGTTGATGGGGAAAACAAGGCCCAGAGAGGGCGAGAGACCTGCCTAACGTCACACAGCAAGCCGCCTCGTTGTCTTTGTCGCCTTTTGGTTTTCTGCACACAGGGCAGGTGCCACAGGAGGAGCAGGTGAGGTCCAGAGACTCATCTCAGGACACCGTTTCAGCACTTGCTGACTGCATGGCTGAGCACAGGCTCTCCCTGCTGCCCCCCACTCTGGGCCTCAGTTTCCTCAAATGCAATATGCCAGGCAGTGTGCTAACCCCCTCAGGCACCATCACTAATGCCCACAACAACCCTGGGATGCGGGAACAAGGGAACAGTCCCTTGTGTGACAGCCTGAGGCCAGATGTGGCTGGGAACTGAGAACGTGGCAGGTTTCAGGGAGAGACCCTTGGGTGTCATCCTTAGTGGCTTCTGGGGCAGCCTTGGCCACCCTTGACTGTACAGCGAAAGGTCTGAAGAGTCCCACTAAGCGGAGTAAAGACCCTAAGTGGTATGTCAGCCCAGGTCGTGTTCGCTGCCAAATGAATCCCGGCTTCAAACTCCTGGGTTTCAGAGCATCTTGGATTGTGGGCCTGAATTATTCTCCCATTTTGCAGAGAAATAAACAAATGCTCCTTCCAATAGGTTCAGTGACCGCCCCAAGGGGGTCCCAACCCTGTCAGTCTGGCTGGACGCAACCCTGCTCGACACAGGGTCTGCTCGGGGCCTATCTTTGTCACTCGGGGTGAGGGGCCTCTGTGCTGGCCAGTGGGGGCTGGGACGCTGTCATCCCTGGGGGAGGCGGAGGGGCCCTGAGTCCTGGGTACCCTGGCTTGGGCTTAGCAAGTCAAACCAGACTCTTTTTTTTTTTTCCCCACCATAAACCTTGTGATGTGACAAATGAGCCTGCAGAAAAATGGCCCAGGGATGCCAGGCCACCAGCTGCTGAGGGTTCCTGGGGCTCTGCTTCCTCCCGCAAGCTGGGAGCAGAAACATGGCCACGGTCTGAGGGAGAGGGAAGGGGGGTCCCTGTCCTCCTAGACCCCGCCACCTCCCTCCAAGCCTTGGGACGGGGAGGGGAGCCGCAGGGCATCGGTTCCCACCACTCTCTGGGCTCTCAGGGGGAAGCCACTTTGCGGCACACGGGAGGTGAGGGACAAGATGGCAGTCGGGCTTCTTACAGCTGCTCTGCCAAACCCTGCTCGCTCCCGTGCTCAGAGATTAACAGGGGCTGTTATTCAATGTTTCAAATCTGATAAGGAAAACATCCATTTTGAGGCATTTGCATAATGCATTGGCTGAGGCTGAGGTTGCCCCTGCCTGCTGAATACTGATGGGAAGGGGGGGCTGTCCCGGAAGGCACCTGGCCTCCCCAGAGCTCCAGGGCCTCCTCCCTGCCCAGAAAAAGGAGCTGCGGGACCCACAACTGCCCAGCGCTGCAGGCA